GCTGTCCGCCTTTCTTCTGCCCGAACTGGCCTGCGAAGAACTTCCGTCCGGTCTTCTTCTGGCGCAGCAGCTCGCGAGCCTGCTTGAAGGACCGCTGCCCTTGTTGAGCAGCAGAAAACACAGCACCCTCGAGCAGCTCATCTCGTAGCTCTTGGTCATCACCTGCTTGATCGTAGATCTCCCTGATCTGGCTGGCGAACTCATCCTCTTCCGCCGCCAGCGCTGTCGCGTTGTCGCTGTGCTGGTCGTCCTCATCATCCTCGTCGTCCTCTTCCGAGTAGTCGTCATCGCCCTCGGCCACGTAGTTCTTGCTGCGCGCCTGCCACTGTGGCCTGGCGCCACGGTTGTTGTTGTGGTCGCGCTCATGCTTCTTATCGAACTGCATGCCGAGAGCTTGCTGGATGGCCTGATACCCATACTTGTTCTGCACCGAGGCCAGCACCTGCGAGCGCTCGTGGTCGTCGAGGCCTGCATTCTCGAGTAGAAACCATGCTCTGAGCGGCTCAGGAAATATCGGCTTCTTCTCGTCGAACTCTTTGTCTATGGCCTTGATCGCCTTCTGCATCCGGTCCTCTTCGACCTCGAACTGAGTCAGATAGTCTCTCATGCTGGTCCGGTTCTTCCGGTAGGTCTCCTTCATGAAGGTCCGCATGTACTTGCCAGCGTCCTCAACCTCCAGGATGCCACTCTTCTCTCTGAGATACTGGATCAACTGGCTAACTCCCCTCGGCAACTTGGTCGTCGCGTCTTCCTCCAGGTCGTCCAGGCTGTCTATCTTGTCGTACTTCTGTACTCCCTGCCACGCACGTCCCTGGAGCTTCGCCATCAGTCTGGGCCCGCAGAGGCCCTTCTCATCCTTCTTGGTACCGCGTACGTACAGCTTCACTCTCATCACATAGGAGTCGAAACTGGCCACGTCTCCATCCCACGAAGGAACGGTCTCGTGCTTCTCAGCCTCGTTCGTCATGACGTGCCGGTCCGTGGAGCCAGACCGGCTCCGCTACCAACTAAATCGTCGGCACTGGCGTCAGCCTGCTGTCGATCTTCTCGCAAATGATTATCTCGATAATCTTTTCCTCCACAGCTCACGCCAGCTATCCAACAATCTATCCGATATCACAATAGCCCCTGGTGGGCTGAAAGCGTCACTCACTTAGTGAGTGGGTGGCCCGTCCGGCCGTGCCCGGTAGCCTTACCGGGACTCAAGGGCGCCCTCGGACCGAAACAGCATCGGAAGGCCAACTGCACAGTACAAAACACACCCCACTCCCGCCCCTTCCGCCCCGTGGCACCCGCGCTTGCTTATTCCGACCCACCGACCGTGCCCCCCCCCCCCCTCCCGGCCGTGCCTTTGGCCCCCACCGAGTCCCCACGATGGGCCAAGAAAGGCCCCAGGAAAATTCAATATTGCCCCAAGGCAGTTCAAAAGAGCCCCTGACGAGCCCACACAAGACCCCCAATAAGCCCCAGAGACGCCCAGTAGTACCATGGCCCCGAAGAGTCATAAAGACGCTACTAGCTCACAGTGGCATAACAAGTTCGTCACGCCATAGCTCAGCGTGTCGCAGCATTCGGGCGCTTCCCCGAAACTACCACAGGTTGGCGCCACCTCCATATCTCACTGTCCCACATCCGTGATTGTATGATCTTGGCACGCGTGCCTCTTGTACATAACATCGCCCTGGGGATCGATTTTCGGAGACCTCGGCAGGCGGTGGATATGGATGTATTTGGGCCCCCAGCCTACATATATCCAGATGCACCGCCCGCTGGGTCCCCAGGACGTCGGTTCCCAGGCGGTGGATGTGGACAAATCCCCGCCCGCCGCTTTTTTTTTGTTTTCTCTCTCTCTCTCTCTTTCCCTCTCCTCCAGAGCGCACCAGCGCAGATACGGAGATCGACCTCTGAGCGTATCCCCCATGACCGAGCTCCGCTGAGACGATTCGCAGCAGCCTTCACTGATGTTGCTTGGGGCGTCGTCCTCCCAAGAGCTGCGAAGGGCAGGCGGGGCGGCAAGGACTCCAGTGGATGTCTTTTGGTTTGTTCTCTTTCTCTCTCTCTCTCTCTCTCCCTCTCCCTCTCTCTCCCTCTCTCTCCCTCTCTCCCTCTCTCTCTCTCTCTCCCTGCGGCCTTTTTCCTCACGGCGCGGCCCGCCGGCTCTGCCGTCGCGCTCGCGTCCGCCAGCGCGGCCGGCAAGAGAGCCTGTCTTCTCCTCCCTCCCGCTTTGTCTCCTTCTCTCTCCCAGGAGGGGGAAAAAACACGCAGGCACAGTTAAACGTCGACTCCCAGGAAAAGATGGGAAAATATGGGAAGGGGGGGGGAAGACACAAGCCCAGAAAATACCCCCTCACTCTCTCCCTCCTTGCAGCAGGGAAGGAGGAAACACACACACTTCTTGTTTTCCTCCCTCCCTCGGGGGATGGAGGATCAAGGCAGGAGGGGGTTCCTTCCTTCTCCGCCCGTCCCCTCCTCCTCTCGGGGTGTCCTGATCCACCCTCCCCTCCTCGTCTCCGCCCGCCCTCGAGCAGCACGGGCAGGAGCACGTCACCCCGTGCGCCGTTCGAGCGCGCTCCGTGCCACTTCACGGGCTGAGCGGCTTTCAGCTGCGAGCGGTGCACAAGCGGAGCAGTCGAACTGCTGGAGCCCCAGAGTAGGACCCCAGGAGACCCCCAAGGTGGTCAGGACGAGAACCGACACGGGGTTTTCCTCCTCCCCCCTTCGCTCCAACGCCTGCTTCGCCCCCCTCACATCCTAAACAATGAAAAACGTTCGGCAATCTTGATTCGGTTGGGATCGTAGCGATCGTATGGCGAAAATATCGGCGGCGCGCACAAGGGGGTAGGGGGAGGGGGGAAGGCTTCTGAGAAGCAACGTTGCTTCTCAGAAGGCGCGGGCCTTGTCTGTAGATGTAGGGTGGGAGCCTCCTAAGAAGCAGTCTCCTTCTAAGAAGCCTTCCTCCCTCCCCCTACCCCCCTACCCCCCTGTTCGCGCTGCCAAAAATAGTGGAGATCCGTAACACCGACAGGGGCACCCTCTTACATCTCCTCCTTCACCTCCTCCCTCATCGCCCGTGCGCCCCTTTCTTTTCTCCGAAAGGAAGAAGAACTACCGCGACCCGCGTCATCGGCGTTTACATAAACGGCCCCGGGCGTTTTACCATTCGATGCTGGGTTCCATCCCTGGGTGCGCGTGCTGAGCGGCATCGACCGTGGGGGTGCGTATTGTGAGTGTGGTCCTTCTGCTTGCTATTCCCTCCCTTCCCCCTCTGCGTGTAGTACCCGCGACCATTCCTTCCCGCGCGGCCTTGGACTTTCCGCACCATGCTCTGCACACTCGTGCCCGATTGTCGGAGCTCGTGGCTCCGCCGGGCCTGCCCTCTCTTCTGGCAGCCCTGCGCTGGCGCAGCTTCCGACACGCGAGGGGCCCTGGGGCTCCGGTCTGCAAGCCGCCTGGGAGAGGGGGGTCGCCACAGGGGGGAACGGGTCCTGAGGTTTTTCGCGTCCTGGGTTTTTTCGCCTCCTTTGGGTTCCCGGTGCCCTCGACGGGCCCCGGGGACTGTCAGGAAACGATGCAGGAGAAAGATCTCGTCCTGGGGGAAGCGCCCAGGTCCAGGACCCGTTTCCCTCAGGACCCGTTTCCCCCATGCCAAAGGGGGGGGGGCGGGAGTTACCAAGGGGATTTTGGCAGATTCGGGCGGAAGAGGAGGAAGCGGCCGGGGAAGCATTTTTTTTACAGAGCCCCGCGCGGAGCCCTTGGATCTGCGTTCCTTATGGCAGCACGATGACTGCATGGCTCGTTCCAGACGAGGGGCTCGTCCGCGATGGATTTTGAGGGGTTGATATCTCTTCCTCGCTGCAAGGTCGGCGGGATGCTGGTCGGTGGTTGAAAGATGGGATCCCGAGGGACGGGGCCCTAAGGAAAGGAGGACCGATCAGCAATAATTGCATAACTATGCGTTCTCGGAGGTCCTCGCGGATTTCTTGGATCGGCGCTGGGCCCCCATAGCGGCGCCTCCGGCGCCGTGGCGCTGCTCCTGGCGCGCTCCGCGCAGCAGGGAGGAGGGGAGGGTTCAGCGCCTGTGTTGCAAGAATCGACCACAGCGCTGTTCATTGTTTTTCGTGCCGTGTTTCGTTGTTGTGTCGTTTCATTGTTCGTTTAAGTTTTAAAAAAGCCCTCTTTCGTCGTTCGTTTTCGATTGGCGCCAGCTTCGTTTTCAACGTGCGTTTTAAACTTCGGGCCTCGTTTCGTTGTTCGTTGTAATTCAGCCCCCTTTCGCTTTAAGCATCGTTGTGGTTGGTCCCTGCTGTCTTGGCATCCGCCGCTTCCATCTTCTCTCTCTGCCCTGCTGCTGGCGGCGATGATCTGGGCAGGCCTCCTGCTACGTGGACGTCGCAGAGATGGCCAGGACCAGCGGGGTATCCAATATCCAAATTGTTAGTCGGGCTGGATAATGTTGGGGCGTTCTTTCTTCAATGCCCCCTGGGCTCTGTATGGCAGGAATTTTGAGCACGTTTGTAAGAGGAATGCTAAACAGTTCGAATCTTCGCCTAAGGCGTTGCTCAGTCTTGAATGGAGCTTTTGAGGATGGGGTGTCTGAGGGCCTCGTGGGGCCTGAGCTTCAACAACCCTTCTCAGGATGGAGCTTCTCAGGATAAAGCTTCTGAGGATTACATTTCTGAGCTCAGATGTTCCGTGAGAGCGCTCTTGAGGCATCAGTACTAGTAGTCGTCATAGTCGCAATCGTAGTCTCAGTTGTCGGCGTCGTTGTTGCGCGGCGGGTGCCGCGGGCAAGAACTAAACAGTTACCCTTTATTTGAAGGACGCCAGTCCGTGAATAAGGCCGCCGAAAGATTGGTTAGTTACCCTCTATTGGGGGGGGGTATGAAGATTTACTGCGGTTAAATGGGGCGGACAGAGTCGGTCTCTTGAGCTGCTTTCCCACCCCGCCGTGTTTGTAGGGCATCCCTCCGGCGCCGAGGAAACGCGGCATCCCACATGGGATGTTGAAGATGTCGCAGTTCTTCAAGGCGAGCTCTTCTCCACTCTTATATTTTCATACATGTTGTCATTTACATGCCTCTATCAGTATCTGTTTGTGCCGCTCTCTCTCTCTAGCTCGCTGTGTCTCATTATCCCATGTTCTCTATTTGTCTACAAAGGTGTATAGATATACAGACATGCCATACGATCATGTATATTTTCATCTATATATAGATATGTCGTACTTCTCTCTCCCTCCCTCGTTCTCGCGTTCTCCCTCTCTCTCTCTCTCCTTCCCTATCGCCAGCTGTTTGTTTGTCCCTCTCTCTATTTGTCTCTCACTCCCTTTGTCTCGCTCCCTCTGTTGTTTGATGTTCTCTCTCTCTCTCTCTCTCTCTCTCTCTCCCAATATACATATATATATATATATATATATAAAATATATGTGTATATATATATATATATATATATCTTTATATGTGGTCAGGGAGTCGGGAGGGGGAAGCGAGGTCCCCCCTCACTGGAGAACTGGGGCACGTTCGGGATGCGAGCGGGATGCTCTCCTCAGCCTGGCAGCTCCGGGAGCGTTCGTGCCGTGCCCGCATCGCGGCCGCGGAGAGTGCCAGGCTTCGTGCGGCCCAGGGCCGTTGCGACTCTCACCCAGACGCCGAACGTCCTGGACAGAAGTCAGGACGGATGTGTTTCGTCTTTCTCCTGGGTCTGGGGCCCTCGCCAGCCTCCGGGAGCGTCAGCACCACGACTCGACATGAACAACTTGGCCTGGGGAAGGGTTCGGGACTTCGAGGGGCCCGTGATGAACAAACCAAGACATCGGGTCTCTGGGTACGGCGGATCAGGCAGCCTGAGGTCAGGATCGTCTGCTCAGCGTGCTGTGCCGCTGGTTCCGGCCTACCGCTCTTTGGCGCGACACGCTGAGCCTCTCCCTGCCCCCAGGCATCAGCACTCGGAGCGTTTCCTGGCCTCCCGCCCCAGAAAGCGGAGCGACGCGCTCTCGGCTTGGACGGCAGAGCGTGTCGCAGGGGCCGCCGCCGCGACGCGCCGAGCATAGGTTTTAGACGGTGTCCACGGAGTGAGCCTGGCGAAGCCTCGTCGGCTCGTCGTCTGAGCGTCACTCGACCCCGGTTCTTCTACAGGTCTGACTGCCTGCCATGCCTCGCGCCCACTGCGAGCCGAGGCACAAGATAAGGCAAGGCGCTCTCAGATACCCATGCTGAAGCTGAAGTCGGTCGGCAAGTCCAATTGGGCAAGGCTTGTGCCAATTTCTTTCTTGCGCTAAGTGTGTTACGGTCTCTCTCTCTCTCGCTCTTTCTTTATTAATTTCTCTGTCTCTCTGTCTTTTTTTTTTGTTTCTCTCTCTCTCTCTCTCTTTCCTCTCTCTGACTTTCCCTCTCTCTCTCTCGCTACGTCTCTCTCCCTCTCTCTCCCTCCTCATGCGCATCAGTCCGTCCCCTTTCCTGACCTCCTCTGCCTCCCGTGTTCTCTCTCGCTTTCTCGCTCCGTCCCATTTCTGCCGTAGCTCACTCGCTTTCCTCCCACTCCTCTGCTCCCTCCCTCTCCTCCCCTCGCCCTCTTCCCCTCTACCTCTCTGCGTGATGTCGCCGTCGAGTCTTCTATTCTAGCTCGATGCTGTCTCTCTCGTGCGAGACAGTTGGGCCGAATCGTAGCGCCTCGTCCGTCCGAACTTGCACGGCAAGCGATCAGCTGTGCCGCATGGCCGCATTACGTCCAGATATGGCCCTGGGCGGCCAGCAAGAGGGTTACAGTGGACACGCCCACTAAGAAACTGGCCTGCTTGCGGGTGTTCCCCACAGGAACTTCTTGTTTCTCAATGGTTCTCAGGATGCCACCGATGAGCGGCTGGACAGCTTCCCTCCTCCCTCCACCTCTCGCACTGTAGCAACAAGAAGCTGTTGTTTCACACGCCAGTAATTTCCGGGCGCTTCGGCCCCACCATGCAGCACCCCCGCGGTGCAAGTCGCAGGCCGAGTTTCGAGTTCCAATGGTTCCTGGAACCCACGGAAGTTCTAGACTCTCTAGACCACATGGGACGGCTCAAATTTTGGCATCTCATGTTCCCGTTGATTTCTTCATCTGGATTTCTTTTTTTGTGTGAATTGGCAGAGGAAGGCGTCGGGGAGGAAAGCAGGGGGGGCGGTAGGGCACAGTGCGACGGGGGCGAGTGCCGAATCGGGAGCGGGTCCCTCGAACGGGCCACCGACTCAGCCCTCCTTGTTTGCCCCGTCCCTGAGGGAGAGGGGACGGAAGAACAGGCGGAGGGAGGAGGGAAGAGGTCGAGGAGAACGGGGAAGGACTGCACGAGGAAGAGGAGGATGGAGGAAGGCGAGGGCGAGGAGGAGGGAGGATGGACGAGGATGGGGGCGCAGTAGGCGCGAGGAAGATGAGGAGTAGGACGAGGATGACGGGGGGGACGAGGGAGACGAGGACGGTGACGAAGGGGAGGAGGAGGAGGAGGCGGAGGAGGAGGAGGAGAGTGAGGAGGAGGAGGAGGAGGAGGAGGAGGAGGAGGGAGATTCGAGATGGAGGTCGCCCCCCCGCGCGCCTTCGATTGAAAGGCGATGCGTCGCTGCTGCCGCGCTGGCCTCTCCGGCCTTTCGGGCGGCCCCCGCGCGCGAGGACGGGCGGCCTGGACAGCCACCAGCGCTCGTACGCCGCCGACGACGCCTTCTTCCAGCTCTACCTCGTGGGGAAGGCGCGCCCTCACCGGACGCCAAGGGGGGCAACAACATAAACATACACATTGTTCATTTCTAATTCTTGGAGTTTTTTGGGGGGGCCAAGATCTTGTCATTTCTAAGTGTTCCATCCTGGGCCTCTTCCTGGCCACTGGGGGGCCAGGAACAATTAGAAACGAGCAGAGTTAGAAACGAGCGCGATTAGAAATGAACGACGTGTAAGCTTTCGGAGCTCCGCGCGGATTTCTTGGATCTGCGCTTGACCCCCCTGACGGCGCCTCCGGTGCTGCCCCTGACGCGCTCCGGGGTCCAGCGCCGATCCAAGAAGTCCGCGCGGAGCCGCAGAAGTTGCTGTCCATGCAGGTGTTTTCTTCTTCTGCTGCCCACCCCCTCCGCTGGGGCTTCCGCCTCTCCTCGGAGCGCACTGTCTGTGCACCTGCTCGCACGGGCCCTGGTCAAGGTCAGGTCCGGTTGAGGAGCCCAGGAGGCACCTCGCTCCGCAGGCGGAGACGGAAAGCGTGAGACACTACGGCAACATAGCGCGAATGCAAGAGAACAGTAGCGGATAGGGCGATATTGAAACACATGTATTGTACAAAAGCTATTTCGCATTACAGTAAGAATTTGACTGTCCCAACTCTCCAACCGCTGTCACGGGCCCTGGCAAGGGCCCAACCTCGGCCCAGGGTCAGTAGTGTGAGCGCGCTTCTGGCCAGGCAGGCGCACACGCACCGGCTCTGGGGCCCGGGACTGGCCCGGCCATAGTCGGTGCAGGCGTACGGTCGGCAACCTCCCATCTTCGTTGTCCTCCTCCTCCGTCTCCTTTCTGTCCTCCTTCTCCTCCTCATCCTCATCCTCCTCCTCCTACAAGCAAGCGCTGGTGACTGCACAGGAACGCTTCCCCGAGGACAAGCTCATGAAACAATGGGTGGACAAGATGAAGGAGGAATTCAACGAGAACTACGAAAAGTGGCCCGAGATCGGCTGAAAGCCGCAGTTCCCCCCGCACCGCAATGGGCCATCGATGATGGGGGGCGCTTGCAGCGGAAAGGCTGCCGCAGGCGATCGACGACGCCATCAAAGAACACCACCACGAATCCTTCGACGCAGCCCAGCAGCTGAGCCCAGAGGAATGGTATGATTTGATCCCACCTGCCTTCCCGATCACGCACCATGTTCAGGGCTGCGCACTGATTGCAAGGCACGCAGTGGGCGCGTGGCAAGCAGCAGGGAGGAAGTATTTCTCGACGCGCGGCTGGTGCGAGCAGGCGTTGCGGATCGCGACGAACGACCTACAGAACCTGCAGAGCGTCATGGAGGTATCCACGAGGGAGCTGCAGAACGCCGAGAAGCTCGAGCAGAAGGATGTCGAGCGGCTCAAGCGACGTGAGGAGCTCCGCGAGAACACGGGCGCCCCGCTGGACGGCACCGAGATCTTCGAGACGTGCGCCGAGTCAGGTGGAGCGGCTCGCTCCAGCGGCCACGCGCGAGAGCGCCCACTTGCGCATGTGGCAGCGACAGGCGAGCTCGGAGGGACCGACGCAAGTGACGGAATCTCGGAGTCCGGACCCTGATGAGAGAGCCGTGGTGGCCGACGCGCAGCCAGGAGGAACACTATTGCTCCTAATCGCGCGGCGTCAGAAGCCACAGCGCCCGCCGTCACGACACGAGCCTGCCGTGCTCCGTGGGCTCAGGATCGACCTTGCCAGGATCGCAGCGCGTGTCCACCACCGCGAACTTCACCTGGCGGCGCGCAAAACGAGGGCAGAGGCAGGAAGGGCGGCCTTCCAAGACGCCCCACCGCCTCGCAGACAACGTTGGGCGCATGCGCGACTAGCACTACTTGTTGATCCTGTTTGCGATCATAGCGGCGTCGCTGCGTCATGCAGCGCATGCGTGCGAATCGACCTCTCATAAGAAACTCTCTGTCGTCTTAGAAGGCCGCCATCCTCGTTGCACTCTAGGCCCTCCTGCTGGCCGCCACCCGCCACCGCCGCTGGGCCGTCGTGCCGCCTTCTTTGCCTCGGCCCAGGATTGGCCCGGGCCCAGGATCGGTGTGCAGTCAACCCGAACAGTAAGGATGGGCAACCTTCCCAAGGGTACCCTTGCATCCTTGCCTCCTCGATCCATCCTTCGCCACTTTCGTTGGCCGCGCCCCGCTTGAAAAGCTCCGGTTTGGGCGTCCAAGGCCCTTGCATCCTTATCGCCCATCCTTACTATACGGGTTGACTGTACTTGGGCGGGCCTTCGGCTGCCTCCAGCCACCCGCCGCCTCCAGCTGCCCAGGCCCCCGACGGTGCGCCTTTCTCACGACGTGGACCCCGAACCTCGCGGCCCCACCCGTTCTGTTCGTCGCCCCCGCGGCCACGACACCCGCCTCCTGGACGCCTACAGCAAGAACGGAGCGGTTGTCATGACTTTCCATGCGCCCAGGGGTCTGGGAGCGTCGTCAGGCAGGCCAGGGGATGAGATAAATCATCTCAGGGTTCCCCGGCACGTTCTCAGAGCGTTCAAGAAATTCGGGGGCGGCCACGAGGGGGGTGATGACAATGGGGGTTGGGTACCATGGCGGGGGGCCACGATAACCTCCAGATTTCATGGCGCCTGCTCTTATTCAATACGTCTCTGGCCCCACCCGGGGCCGCGCACGCGCCGCTGGCCATGATTTGCCCCCCCCCCCCCCCCTCCTGGACGCCCCTCTCTTGGACGCCTCCGAAAAAAACAGTCTGGAGCAACCTCGGCGCCCGGCACCTTGGCCATGCCCACCAAGTTCTCAGGGGCCCCAGGTTTCCGTCCGGCTGTCTGCGGCATGTTCTGCCGCCGTGCCATTGCAGCATTATGTGCGGCGATTCTTCGAGCACCACCCAGAAGGCCGTTACATGTAACAACCTTCGTCTCTACCCCATAGGGGCTCTCATGGGGCCTGCCTGTGCCCGGGGCCGTCTTGGGGCTGTCTTGGGCCGCCTTGGGGCCGTCTTCGGACCGTTTTGGGATCCTCTTGGGACGTCGTGGGGCCCTCCTGGGCCGTCTTGCGCTGTCTGCGGCCCCTCTCGGCCGCCTGCAGGGGGTCTGGGGTCTTCTTCGGGCCGTCTTGGGGCCTCTTGGGTCATGCCATGGGCACCTCGTGGGCCGTCTTGGGGCCCTCATGGAGCTGTCCTGGTTTGTCTGGTGGGCTTCTTTGGGCCTTCCCAGGGCTCTTTTGTTTTCTCGGTGGCTCGTCATAGGCCCTCTTCGAATTGTCTTGAACGGAGGGGCGCGGGAAAATTGCAACATTCAGTAAAGCATCGAGAAGCATAATTAAGTCCTTTGGTTTTGAATGAATGTGGGTACCATGGCGTCTTGCAAGCCTGTCGGGGCCCCTTTGGCGCCTCGGGGTCATCTTGGGGGCTAGTGGGTGTTCCTGGAGGCGCTGTTGAGCATCCTGCCGGCACTGGTGGTTCTCCCGAGCCGTCCTGGAGAGCCTTGGGAAGCCCCTCCAGAAGCGTTGGAGCGGTCAGGAACCCCTTTGGCTGGGGTTGGGGCTGGTCTGAACGCACCCCCTCAGCGTCGAAAGGGGTGGGCCCTCAGAAGGCCTCAGAAGCCCAGCCACACCACACTCGGCGTTCCTACCTCGACGCGCCAGGAGGCACTGGTGGCGGACCGCGACGGACCTCATCCCAAGTTTGCCCTCTTCCTGCCGTCGCCCCACTCGATCCTTCAACGTCGCATTGTTTTCGTGTCGTCGGCCCTCGGAGGAATCGACCCCTTCCCTGGGGAAAGACTTTTTTAAAAAAGGTCTCAGAGGTGCCCAACAGTAAAGACCGACGGCTTTGCGGTAAAAACATATAGCTTCCTTGGACTTTCTGACCATGTCCCGGCCCAAGCTCACCGACCGAGATAAGGGAGCCGAGCCTGCGACACGCTACCCATGTCCCAGTCCCCAGGCTTCAACGTCTCGAGTCTTTCCCAGCCTTCCGCCCCGCAGAGCGGAGCGACACGCTATCCGCTCGCAGGGCACAGCTCCGAGGCGGGAATTGATCCATATCCACCGCCTGGAGGGTCAGTTTTCAGAGCCTCGGCAGGCGGTGGATATGGACATATTCCGACCCCAGGGGGCCGAAATATATCCATATCCACCGCCCGCTGGGGCACCAGGACGTCGGTTCCCAAGCGGTGGATATGGATATATCCCCGCCTCGCAGCAGCGTGCCGCCGGGGCCACCGCCGCCGCGACACGCTGGGCAAAAGGGTTCCTGGCTGCAGTGGCCGTGCGCCGTGGCAGGGGCCGCCCCGCCCGCCCGCCCCCCTCAGCGGTCGTGGCACGGGGGCGTCGGCCGCCCCCCTCGCGCTCGCGCTCGGCCTGGCCGGCTTGGGCTGGCCTCCGCGCCGTACCCCCCTGCGAGGAGGGGGGGGAGGGCATGGGGAGGAGAGGAGGGGGAGGGAGGGAGGATCATAGACGGAACAGGTACCCATACCTCTACCCTTCATCCGTTTTGCTATTGTTTGGCCTCCTCGGAGGCCCTCGTCGACACCGTTGGACTCGCCTCGAGATCCTGGTCAGAACGCACCTCAGGAGAGGTCTGGGGAGTAGCGGTATCGGTACCTTTTGGTTTCCCCAGAGGAGTCGCATTGCCCACCGAGGGAGGCTGAGAGAGGGTCCAGGCCAAGAGGAAGGGGGGGGATGCAGGAGCACGGGGTCGATTGCTCGGGACTGCGCAGCGCAGAAGGAGGAGGGATGAGGTGGGATGAGGTGGGATGATGAGGAGGCGGCGGAGGGTTTTGACGCTTTTGGCCTCTGTTGGACCTCCTCTTCGGGCCCTCGTCGCCACTGCTGGATCTGCCTCTGAAATCCTGGTCGGAACGCGCTCCAGGAGAGGTCGGGGGTCGCACCTCCTTCCTTCTTCCCTCATCGCTTCTGCAATGTAGCTGTAGGTTCAGCTTGGAGGCTTGAAAGAACATGGCCGCGATCACAGCAAGAACGGACCGTCACGGGATGCCGAGGCACTGGGCTGGCGCTGGCAGGGTTTGCTGTCTGCTGCTGGTCTACGGTCAGGAACTTTGGCTCAGCGTGTCGCGCCGCCGGTTCTTGCCCATCACAGGCGCTACACGCTAACCACGCCTCAGTCCCCGCAGCGTCAACGGTCCGAGCCTTTCCCAGCCTCCCGCTCCGCGGAGAGGGGCGACACGCCATCCGGCTGCAAACCATGGCGTGTCGCCAGGGCCGCTGCCCTGGTACGCCAAGCACGAGTTCCCGACCGTTGTTGCTGCATGATCGTCTTGCTTTGCGTTTCTCACACTGCAGCCAACCCTTGAACCTGCGCCGAGGTGCTGGAGCATGGCCGAGCTGGTGCCACATCACAGACGTCTGGTGACATGCTTGCATTGCTCTTTTGAGCCGAGTGCGAGAGAGTTCCCAGTAATTGAGGAAGAAAAGCGACATAAAGTAAACTTTCGGAGGTCTGCGCGGATTTCTTGGATCGGCGTTGCCCTCCCCTGGCGGCGCCTCCGGCGCCGCCTCTGACGCGCTTCGCGCGCCAGGGAGGGGGTCCAACACTGACCCGAGGAATCTTGGCGGAGTTCCGGGAATTCATGTTTATGCAGGTGTTGTGTTGTTGTTTCTTCCTCTTCTCCCTATTCTTATTACTAGTATTTGTATTATCGTTCTTCTTCTTCTAGCGGAGAGTGTCCAATCCTCTAGCGAGAGGGTAGCTAATTAGGTACCAACATTCGTTGTCATTGATGTTTGCGTAGTTCCGTTGTCATGAGCACTTGAACGCAAAATCAGTGTAGAATATTGTCCTGGGCGAAGCGCTATCGTCATCATGTAGGCAAGTTCGCGTCGAGGGATGTTTCGGAGACTCGCGCCAGCCCCGCATGCCTCTCCAGGAGGTGGCCTCTGCGTAGACATCCCGACTGGCACTGCGTACCCTTTTGAGTTGTCCACATCTCGGGAGCTCCCATCCAAGGCCAGAGCAGGGGCACCCTTCCAACCAAACAGCGTCTTGCGCGACTCGCGGTTTTTTGTCATCGCCCTGGAGGCACGAGGCTGATGCAGCTGGGTGAGAGTTTCCCCTGTTGCTGCTTTCTCATTGCCTGGGAAAGGCGAGGACGAGGCAGGTGGAGGAGACTTTCCCTTCTCGGACCTGCAGCCCAGAGCCCAGGAGCCCTGCAGTGGCCGAACGCGCGTCCGGGCGGCGCTCGATTCCACTGGTCCGGAACCCGCGCCGCCAGGGTGGGTGCTGTGCTGGGGGACCCCGTCCCTGTCGCTCTGTTGGGCGAAACGAGACCGCACCGGCCGATGCAGCTGATGCAACGTCAGTGTGTCACTCAGTTGGTGCTCGACTCGCTTGGTGTGGAGCCGCGCCGCCAGGGAGTGTGCTGTGCTGGGGGGCCACTTCCATCGTTCGCTGTTGGTCGAAACGAGGCTACACCGGATCGTCGAGGCAACGTCAGCGTGCACCACTCCGCTGCCCCCGAGAACCCAGGCTCGAACGAGGTACTTTCGCCACGCTGCGTTCTCCATTTCTCAGCTGGGCGTGTAGTCTTCCCGCCTGTGGAGAGTGAGCAGCCGCCGCGGCATCCTTCTCATTTGCTGGGTTGGTGGCTGAGTGACAACTAGCAGGAGCCAGTTGAGTTGAAGCCTGGTGTCCAGGTTGCATGCATGGCGCAACTTCTATTGTATGTGTGCACGCTGGAGCCTGTCGTACCGTTCATAGGTATCCGCATGCCCCCAAACTTATACATCATAGCTTGGCCTCGGCCAGAGGCTCGTTCGTTCCGGGCGCATGGAGCGGAGGGAGGGTGGGCGTTGCACAGATAGAGCACCGACTGCTGTGGATGACGTAGATCCGCGCACGTGGGGAGCTGTCGCCCGGCTCTCCTACGCTATTGTTGCCGAGAGGTGGGTACAAGCACGGTGGGGGGCCCATTGGGGGCGTTCGTTCGTACGTGGAGATCTTGGATGATTCCTTACCCGATGAGGGTTGCGGTGGCATCCAAGGGCAAACTTCAAATATGCAACGGAAAAAACCGGATCGTCTGCGCCGGCGTTGGCGCGTAAGCTACCCGCGTAAGGTCGCGCGTAAGCGCCCTCGCTTCCAATGCAGCGTGCCGCGCCGGCGGCCCGTTTAAGCCGCCGCTTAAGGCCGCGATGCCATCTCGCGTAAGAGTAAGACCCCTTTCTGATCGTCGCTCAATTGGTTTTCTTGCGGCTTCAAGACCCTGCCCTTGTCGAGTGCTTCCTTATCCAATGCTCTCACCGTGGTGCAACTAGGAGGATAACGATCTAGAACTGCCCATGGGGAGGGGGGGCGTCACACAGCAACGCCCTGGGCGATGATTGATAAGCGTGGTTCTGGCTCGGCTCGTGGGCGGCTTCGTCAGTGATATTGGTTGACCGTCCGCTCTAGAATTGTTTTTGGCGGCAGCACAGAAATTTTCAATCATGCCACCCCGTGTTTTTGTTGCTCCCAGCCAGTGTTCTTACTGGGCTGGCTTACTGGGCGCTCGTAAGCGCCCCGTGCCTTAGCCAGGTGGGTCCGTCGAGGTTTCGCCTGGTGCCCGTCAGCGGGCGCCCCGTTGGCGCCCCGCGCCCTGGGCGGCAAACATACCTTACACGGAATAGCTCACACCGTACAGCTCACACCGCACGGCTTACACAGCACATCTCACGCCCCATAGCTTAGACAGCATAGCTTACGCCACATAGGCCACGCCACATGTGCATGAGTATGTATACATATAACGGGGGACCGGGTGGGGCCCAGGGCCAGGGCCAAGACGGCCCAGGAGAGCCCCGAGATGGTTCCAGAGCCGCCCAAGACGGCGCAAGAGGGTCCCAAGAAGGCCCCAACAGGGGCCCAAGAGTGGGAACGCAAACTGAAAAATCAAGCTCTCCGCCCCAAGATGCCCCCAAGAAGCCCCAAGAGGCGCCAAGAGGCCCCAGGAAGCCCCAAGAGTCCCCCAAGAGGCCCCCAAGAAGCCCAACAGTGGCTCCAAGAGGCCCCAAGACGTCACCCAAAAGGCTTCAAAGCTCTTTCTAAGAGGCCCCCGAAGACATGCCAAGAAGGTCCCATGACGACTTCAAGATGCAGTCCAGGATGCTCCGAGGAGGCCCCAAGAGGCCCCCAAGAGAGCCCAAGAGGCCCCCAAGAGGCCCCCGAGCGGCCTCAAGCATCATCCAGAAGGCCGGACAGAGGCCCCCAAGAGCTCAGCGGTCCAGGCGGGGGCCGAACGAACATTTCCAGCCCTGGGCTCCTGGAAGCCCAACAAGAAGCCCTAAGAGTTCGACCATCCAGCCTAGCTAGAACTTGAGCGCGCGCGAAGCGCGCGCGATGGTTCTAATATTTACATGTTTATATAGTTTGCACATCGCAGCTGACACCACACGGCTCTCGCACAGCTTCAACCTCCATGGTGCAAACAATTCACTGTTTGGGGTCCCCGCTGGCTAACAGTCTCAATCGCTGCGTGAGGCACGCTCAAGCGGGGAAGAGAGCTGGCCAGAAGGCATACCGTCGGGAGTGGGCCGCGCAGCCGCCCACCAGGGGCAGCCGACCCTGCGGAGCAGACGATCCTGAAGGTCTGGTGGGCCACCCTGGGGCGGATGGACGAGGCGCGCGGGCTCTCCGGAGGCCGGGAGCTCTTGCTCGAAGAAGAAAAACATCCGCGAAACGCAACACGGTTGTTGGACGATTTCGTCGGTTCCTGGAGGTTTTTTTCCCTTGGGATGCGTTCCAGCGGCTGCACCTCGCCGAGGGCGCTCTGGGGTGCCCGGATCGTCCCGAACGGCCGCCGGAGAGCCGAGTTATGACCCAGAAGCCACAGCCCCTCGAAGATGGAAAGACGGCACGCATTTAGATTTTCGGAGCTCCGCGCCGATTTCTCGGATCGCCATCCCTGGAGGGTTCCAGCGCCAGTTTGAGAAATCCGCGCGGAGCTCCGGAAGTTTCTGTTGGTGTCTTTCTTGGATCGTGCACTGTTGCGTGGCGAAGTGCGCAGGATCAGGGGAGGGCGACGACAAGGGACAGGGAAGTCGGGCGACGGGATCTGTACAGATCCACCGCCCCTGGCCAGGCCCATCCTGCGCCCATGAGCAGTGCACATGCTTCACAGGCCGAGCTGGAGGGGCGTGCACACCGCTGCTGGATGCATGATGGGCCCTGCCAGAGGGCGGTGGATGTGTGTGTAAGCCCCGTCGCCCTTGAGGAGGATGGGGGGGAGAGCAGCGGAAGGACAAGCAGCATAGACGTAAACTTTCGGAGGCCCGCGCGGATTTCGTGGAGCGGCGCTCGATCCATTTGGTTGGCGGCGCCGGAGGCGCGCTCCCCGCGCCAGGGAGGGGGTAACCAGCGCTGATCCAAGAAATCCGCGCGGACTTCCGAACGTTGACGGTAGTGGCGCTTCCTGTTCGGAAGACAAACCGGCAAGACAAGACACGACAAGACAAGACAAGGCAAGGCACGACAAGACAAGACAAGGGCAAGCCAAGACAAGACAAGACAAGACGAGACAGTTCAATCACACAACGGTATATATTTCCCTCGAGAGGCGCAAGAGGAGGATAACCAGGGTAAGCCCAAGACGCATCACAAATACTGCCATGCGGCCACCCACCCCAAGAACCCCTCATAAGCCCGTGCATTCGGAACGAGGTATAAGATCGAGGTCGGTTCGGGGAGGTTGCCCTGATGTTCTGCGTGTCTCTTGGGTGTTAGTATGCATCCTGGGGAAAGGTACCCTTGGATGTTTTGTGCGTTTTGGCCGGCGGAGGGTCTCATGCTCCTGGAGGATGCTTTTTTCCTGGCCCGGGTCCGACGGTGCAGGGATGCATTTTCGTCGCTGCGGAAAGTGCCCCCCCTTCGAAACGACGAGCGCCCCGTGGTCCTGCAAGTCGGGCAGGAGCTTGGTTTGCGAGGGAGGATTCCCGTGAGAGCAAGCATCTCTAGACGTGTAACGCACAAGGAGATTTGCCGGCATTGCCAATGAACGTGAGTTGGTCGGGGCAGAGGAGGATCCCGCCGAGTGGGCATCGGTTCTCTCGCAACAAGCAAAAACGCGAACGCCAAAAATTGGCGTCTAATTCATTGGATCTCGGAGTTGCCCTCCATGCGTCTGAAAGGAACCTCAATCCTCGTAGCTGTGGCAAGCGGCGTTGGCGCCAAGGCGCCCAGGCGAGAGCCGCATGTGGAACACGACTAGGCGCGGCGATTTCGGCGAGATTCGCATCTTGAAGACGGCCATCCTCCGGCCGTGTAACTGTTGGGGGATGACGAATGTGTCGAGGACCTCGTCGTTAGGGAGGGTCGTTGCCGCATCTTCACGGGGCAGAGTGCAAGTGCACGTGAAACGGAACGTCTTGCACGTGTATGCAGGAGAAGACATCCGCTCTGTTGCTGAGCTGCTGATATGGTGTCTATGCCTACGTCTTTGCATGGGGCGATTCAGAAAAGTGCCTCGCCTTCGAGGATCGGGAGTTGGCAAGTAAAGCGAGGCCGTTTCCGCCAGCGGAAAGCCAGCATCAGTTTGCGGAAGACAAGATCGTCGCCCCCGAACAAATGCACGCGTTTTTGTCCCAACCATCCCTTGGTTGGGTTCTCGGTTTGAATAGAGCACCGCTGTCGCGACTCAATTCCTCCCTTCCTCCTCTCCTTCTCCTCCTCCTCCTCCTCCTCTTCCTCCTCCTCCTCTTCCTGCCTCCTGCCTTTTGGCCTCCCTACTTCCGTGGGCGCTGTGAACTGCGCAATTATGGCCGCTTTCGTGAGCTCCTGGGCGGCGCGGTGGCGTGCAGAGCAACGCGGGCCCTTTTTTGAACCCTCGCGACTCCTTCGGGGGCTGCGAACTGCGCAACCGTCGCCACTTGCGTGGGCTCGTGGGAGGCACGGCGGAGTGCATGGCAGCGCGGATCATTTGAGCCCTCGCGGCTCTTTCGGGGGTTGCGAATTTTCCCATAGTCGCGTCTTTTGTGGGCTCTTGGGGGGCACGGTGGAATGCAGGGCAACGCGGACCATTTTCGTGGGCTCTTGGGAGGCACGGTGGAATGTAGGGCAACGCGGTTCGTTTTGAGCCCTCGCGGCTCCGTCGGGGTTGCGGACTGCACGATTGTCACCGCTTTCGTGTCTCCCTGGGAGGGACGGCGGAGTGCAGAACAACATGGATGATATGGGACTCCGCGGATCCGTCGGGGCTTGTGATTTGTGCAACCGTCGCCATCTTGGTGGGTTGCTGGGAGGCACCGTGGAGTGAAGGGCGCCCACGCGGCGCGTGGTGCCGTCCCGTCATTTAGCGCGCGGAGTTGTTGCATCATAGGGCGCAGAACGTTGGAACGTCATGTAGCGCAGGGCGCTGTCGTCAGTGGCCCACTACCCCCCTCTCTTCAGGTGCTGTTCGCCCGCGGCAGCAGCAGGGATGAACCGAGCAGGTGTAGCGCATGGCGTTGTTACTCTCACCCGTTTGCTTCCCTCTCCGTTTCCATCCTCCTTGTCCTCCTCCCCCCCTCTTGTTTCCCTTCATCCTCCAGTATCGCCCCCCGTTCTATGTTCCTTGTCGTGCTTGTCGTCCCCGTTTTTTCCCATCTGAGTTGCGCAGGTGGGCGACGCGCGTGGCCCGACATTGCTTGGCTACGAGCTTCAGAAGCGTGCATACTTAGCAATGTGTTCTTGTGTACGGAGCGTTCCTAACACATTCTTCTCGCGTGGAGAAGGTGTTGGGTGCGCCTTGGGTGAATTGGTTCATGGTTTCCGGGATCGGCTATGTGGTTTGTGCCGTGCGCTTGTCGCCTGGAGAGTCGTCGGGGATGCAGCAGGTTCCCCAGAGCCGGTGTCAGGAAACGTGTCTCGGGGCCTGACTCGGTACCTTCGAGGGGAAGTTGGGCCCCGCGTGGAGTGCGTCGGGGCCTTCCGGGAGCATTTGCAGGCTTCCTAGGGCCTTCTGGGGTCATCTTGGAGCCTTGGCGCGTCCTAAGGCGTTTTGGAGTTTCTTGTGGCGGGGATCCTATTTGGTGAGCCCCTCCTTTGCGTTACCGCCGTTTCTCGGGACATCTCCATGTCCTTTAGGACATCATGGGGCTGAGGCCTTTCAGGGGCATCTCGGGATCTTTTGGGGGATCTCGATGCCATGTCCCATGGACGCATTTGAGGGCGTAGTGGGGACCTTGTTGGACCAACTTGGGATCTTGGCGCGTCCTGTTTCGTGGAAATGTGTTAGACATGTGTTCGGGATCCGGAAGCTGATTGGGGAGCATCTTGTTCCCCTTGGAGGCATCTCGAAGTGTCTTGTGAGCACATTGGGATCTGGGGCTGCTGAGGTTTGCATGGTGGCATTGGAGGCTTTGCCGCATGTGCGAATCTTTTTGGAGTGGTCCAGGGGGCGATTTTGCGAGACCTCCAGTGTGAAGCCGCCGATTCGTCAATTGAGTTAGTGCCAGGAGGCGCGGCTGGGTTCTTGCGTGGGGTTGGGAGACCTTGAAGGCATCTTGGGCTGCTTTGTCTGCGTCTGGGGGACCTCGTGGAGCGCTTTGGGGCATCTCGGAACCCCTCGGGGGCATCTAGACGTCTCTTGGGAGCTGGTGTTGGAACCCGAGGCATTTTTTAATCCTCTTCGGGGGGACTTTCGATTCTGCAGGGATTCCCCTCGCGTCAAATGCGAAAGCTCCACTTTGCAAATTCGTGCGCAGCCCGATTCAGCGGATTTGATGGATGAGTGGGAGACGGTGTCAGGAGGCACGGGTTGGGGCCTGCGGGGAGCCTTTTGGCGGCCTTAAGGGTTGCTTCTTGGAGCCGAGTGTGTGCATGTCGGGGTTTACAGCATCTCTAGTCTGTGCATCGGCGAAGGAGGAGGGCGAGGACCACGGGAGGAGGAGGGCGAGGCCCTGTCCAGGGCGCCCGGGCACATCCCGGACTGCGCGTGCCATTCGCGACAGGACGGGCTGTCTGAGACGGAGGATGTGAGGCATTTTGTTTCGATGCTGCGGACAACATGGATGTGTCACATGCGTCACTGAAGCCAGGCAGTCTGACTCAACGCCAGGGCGTGGCATCTCTTATAGCTCCGACGCCACGCTCTGCGTCAAATAGACCAGGTCTCTTGGCCGCTGTGCAGCGCCCTCTTCCCGCGTGGCCTGCGCTCTCATCTAACTACCGTCCCTCTCTTTCGCCCCTCACGCCCGCTTTCGTGCAGGTTCTACAGTTTGTCGACTACCGACGGTACCGCGACGGCTTCCTCGGACTGCGCGGGAGACTCGCCTCGCACGTTTCTGCTGTCTGCCCCCTCGCCCTCGTGCTGCAGTGCCCTCGCTCGGCGGCGCGCGCGGAGGGGTGGCGCGAGGGTGGCGGCCTTCGGAGACGGCGGGGGGCTTCTCGGAAGTCATGGGCCTTCTGAGAAGGGCTGGGGGCTCATGTCGACCGCGAGCCAAACGACACCAACCCACCCGCGGCCCGCTGGGTCGTTGGTGGAACGCAGGCGGGGTGGTGTCGTAGGTGGGTCGCAGGTGGCCGTAATCGGGCGAGCGCCAAACTTTCAACGTCGCTGGGTCGTTGGCGGGGTGGTGTCGTTTGTTTTCTTGCCAGTCCCAGGCAGGCTCGTCAGAAGCCGGAAGTGCCTCTGAGGAGCCTCCCCTCTTCTGAGAAGCTCCCCCCATCGTCCTGGAAGGCCGCCCTCCTCGCGCGCCCCCCCCCCCTGCGCGCGCCGCCAACCTGCCGCGGCGACGTGGCGAGGCGGCACTGGTGGGCTTGGCATCGCTCGGACGTGCGCATCTTTCCCCGGCGAGGACCATCGAGGAGCACCCTGGATCACCCGACAAAGAAAGCACGCACGAAGCCGAAACATGCACGGGGAATGGACGTCCGAGCGATGGCAAGCTGGAGCAATGCGCCCAGCTGACGCCACTCCCTGAGACAGCACGAGGAGCGTGAGAAGGAGCAGGCATTGGCCAGCGATCAGCAACGGAGTGGCCTGTTTGGCTGAATGCCGCGGCGGCGGCGAGTTTACATCTCGTGGCATCGCTCGGATGTGTGCGTTTTTTGTCCCAGCCATCCTGTGGTGTTGGGTCCTCGTTTCAAGCACACAGCGCCCAGCGTTCCTCTCCTCTTCTCCTCCTCCCCCCCTCTTCCCGTCACCCTCCTCATATTGGCACACCCTTCACACGTTTCGTGGCCCCATAGGAAGCTCCAACGAAGATCCCAGTGCTACCGCCCGCATGCGTCCCCCCCACACCCAGTACAGTGAAAGCCTTGAGTAAGGAACACTTACTTTTCAAAAGGGGCTCGGTCGTTCCTTAGGTTTGCATGCGTTCCGCTACCTTTTTGGCGGCGAGCCCCCCTGGTGTTCCTTAAGATTTTGGACGCGCGGGTTCGTTTTTTTCGGTCGGGGCGGACGGTCTGAGGAACGGGGCTCCACGCGGGGGCTCTCTTCATTGCGCTTGCTCGACGTAGTGCGACGGCGGTCGCTTAAAAGCCCGGCGCCTCTCTGGGGCCCTCCCGTTCCTTGCGGGGCGCGCGGTGGAGCTCTCGCCCGTTCCGCGCGCCAGGGTAGTGGCATTAAGGACCAGTTCCCCGCCGGAGCACTTCCCGTTCCTTACGCCGCGCGTTTCGGAGTTCACTGGCTCGACATAAAGCTACGGCGGTCGCGTCAAGGCCCAGCTCCTCTCTCGGGCCCCCCCGTTCCTTGCGCGGCGCGCGCTGGAGCTTTCGCCCCTATCCGCATGCCAAGGTAGGGGCATTGAGGTCCAGTTCCTCGCAAGAGCCCCCCCCGTTCCTTCGGAACCGAATCGGAAAGTGGTCAACTTAAGACCCAGGCCACCACGTGAGCCCCTGGCGTTCCTTGCGCGGTGCAATTGGGGGTTCACGCGCGGAACCGAAGCGGAAAGTGGTCGCGTTAAGACACAGTTCTTAGCCTGAGCCCCTGGCGTTCCTAACGCGTCGTTCGCAGGCTGCGCTTCTGCGTGCGGTTTTGGAGCGGCGGGGGAGGGGGGGGGGCGGGCGTTCCTTGAGGGTTTGGCGGAGAGGGCGGGGGTCGAATTGCAAGAGCAAATCGTAGCGGAACGCCGCTAGAAAGGGGCTCGGCCGTTCCTTCTGGCTTAATGGGCTTACTTGGAAAAAAATTGGTTCCGTTCCTTATTTATGGTTCCTTAGGTCAAGACCCTCACTGTGCAACAATTCGTAGCCCCAGAGTTCCACTGAAGGTCCAAATGCTCCCGCCCATCGCGTCTCGCCCAGCCAGTTCAGCGTCTCGTGGCCCCATAGCCAGCTCCACCGAAGGTCCTGGTGCTACCGCCTGCTGCGTCCCCCCCACACCAGTACAGCGCTTCGTGGCCCCATAGGGAATTACACCGACGGCCCCAGCGTTACCGCCCGCATGCGTCCCTTCCACCCACCCAGTGTAGCGCTCCGCCGCCCCATACGGAGCTCCATTGAAGGTCCCAGCGCTACCGCCGCATGCGTCCCCCCCACCCAGTACAGCTCTTCGTGGCCCCATAACGAGCTCCATCGAAGGTCCCAGCGCTACCGCCCGCATGCGTCCCCCCCAGCCAGTACAGCGTCTCGTGGCCCCATAGCGAGCTCCACCGATGGTCCTAGTGCTACCGGCCGCATGCGTCCCCCCCACACCCAGTACAACAATTCGTGGCCCCAGAGCTCCACCTAAGGTCCCAGTGCTACCTACCGGTCGCATACGTCCCCCCCATTCAGTACGGCGCTCAGTGTCTCCATAAGAGGCTCCACCGAAGGTCCCAGTACTACCGCTTGCATGCGTCCCCCCCCCCCCCCACCCAGTACAGCGCTTCGTGGCCCCATAGGGATCTCCACCGGCGGCGTCAATGGCAACGTCCGCATGCGTTTCCCCCACCCAATACAGCCTTTCGTCGTCCTGAAGGGAGCTCCACCGAAGGCCTCAGTGGCACTGCCCGCAGGCGTCTCCTCCACCCATTACAGCGCTTCGTGGTCCCGTAGGGAGCTCCAGCGAAGGCTCCAGCAGCACGGTCCGCATGCCAGCTCAACGTCGTGGCCCCATAGGGAGCTCCACCAACGGTGCCCTGGGCACCGTCCACGTGCGTCTCCCCCACCGCGCTTCGTGGCCCCATAGGGAGCACCACCGAAAGCCCCAGTAGCACAATCCACATGCGTCTCTCCACCCAGTACAGCGTTTATTGGCTCATAGGGAGCTCCACCCAAGGCCCCAGTGGCAAAGTTCGCATGTGTCCCCCCCGCCCAGTACAGCGTCTCGTGGCCCATAGGGACCAAACCTCTCCCAACCGCGTCGAAACCTCGCCCGCCAGCTCCGCCCCGCTCAGCCCGACGCGCCCGTGTCGCCAGCGCCCATCACGTCATCGGGATCATGGTCCTTGACGATGACCTGGAGGAGCTGGCGCCGGGCACCGGCGCCGACGGCGCCAGCGCCGCGGGGGCGGCCCGGGGCGTCGCGGACGCCACGGCGTGGGCAGCGGAGTTGCTGTAGATGCCGTGGGCAGCGAGAGCGCGCCTGCGCTGCTCTTGGTGCACCCCGCCGCAGGGGCTGGGCCCTTCCGGGGAGGGGAAGCACAACCGCTCTCGAGTCTGAGCGGTGCTAGCAAGTCGTTCCTGGTGGAATCCCTTGGCGTTCTGCATTTCGACCTCCCGGAGTCCGATAGCAGCCGGACGTGCAGCCCGAGGTGCACCTGCTGACAGAGCTAGTTCGCGAATTTGAACCACGCACGTGCGAGATGGTGGCGCCGATGCTGATGTGAGTTGAGCTCTCTTGGCGCGTGCCGCGCCCTCCTCATCCCTCCCCCATCGTCCCGCTCTGATTCAACCTCTTACTCCATGTGTTCGCGTCCTCCTGTTTGTTCACCGCGCGCATCCATGAACATAATTGTGTTCCTGTTGCTCTCGTCGTTGCCCTGACTTTCTCGCGCGTCGTTCCCAGTCTCACGTGGGCCCCCGTTCCCCCCCCCGCCTCCTTCCTATATGCCGCGCGTTCCTCATTCCCTTTTCGTCCTGCGCATCTTGGCCCCCATCCTGTTCTTGTTTCCTCCCCGTCGCCTGGCCGTTCCGCCCCGCGCATTGTCGCTTTCCAGATTGTCGTCCACGGGAGGCGCGCTGGCATCCCCGTGTGGCATCGCACTGGTTGTCGCGCGCGCCGCCCGGTGGAATGAGGCGCGGCGCCGCTGCTGCAATCAAGCCAGAAGGGAGCGATCGCGGGCAGTGGCTCCCCCGCGCGCTCGCCATCGGCTGGTCGGAACAGCATCTGGCGGCGATGTGTGCCACCGGGATTCCTCGCAGATCGGCCCGCTCAGCCGCCGCGACTGGGTCGTGGATTAGGGGCCTCGCAGATGTGTGGCTGGGGGGTGGTTGGCTTTTCCTTTGGGGGTGATTCTCGAGGCCGCTTTCGGGTATGATTGTGGCACTTCCGATCGATGTTGGGGCCCCGTCGTGCCAGCTCGGGCCCCTCGGGGCAGCCCCAGATCTTTCGGGCGTTTTGAAGCCGTTCGGGGGGGCCCCAGGGGCAGCGCTGCGGCGCGCCTAGGCCAGTTTCGGCCATTCCAGGATTTTGTCTTGTGGTTCGTCCAGGCGGGGTTGTGGTCCCGAGCGCGCAGGGCCCGAGCGGGGCCTGGCCCGGTCGCCTCGAGGACGTGTCGGGAGCGTCGAAAACTAGACATCGGTCCTCCCCTCTCCCCCGCCAGCCCGAGCGGACCGTTCCAGCGCGAGGGTTGCCAAGGGGCAGGAGAAGGGCCTCCACAGCGACAACAACCATACACACAGGGGTCGGTCATGACGATCGCGGTCATGTGTCAGCCTACATGCTCACCTATACCATCGCCGAGGACTTCGCCGACATTTCCACCAACGCATCAAATTTTCCACGTGGGCTCTCGACGGATGTCATACCTGGCCACTTGCCAAGATCTTTAACAGTTTCTGTCTAACATACCCTCTGCCTCCCATTGGAATCTACACTTCGACAAAAAACACATGGGGCACTTTGCATCGGGCTTCAGAAGATCAGCGAAGTTGCGTTTGAGCTTTGTTTACACGTATGCTTTGACGTGTATGGCAGGATCCTGTCCACATTGGCTTGATCCTGCCGAGCCTGGCCTTTTCCTTAGCTTACCCCAGCACGGTGGCCCTTTTTCAGGTTTGCCTTTCATCGTTCCCACGAAGGCCTTCAGAGAGGTGCCTCGTGAACTTGTCTCGTTCCTCGTCGTCCCTCTTCCCCACGTCGTCGGCCACCTCCTTCTCCTTTCCTTCCCTTTCCTCCCGCATCTTCTATATTCTGGCGTACGCAGCGGCCGTATGTTTCGAGCCAGCAGGTATCCGTCCTCCTCCTCCTCCTTTCCCCGTTTGTTCTCTCATGTTCTTCCTCCTCATCGAGTTCCTAGCCTTCTCTCCGCCATTCATCTCCCCTCCTCTCTCCTCTCTCGTCTTTCTCCCGTTCGCGTTCCTCATCCTCTTTCTCCTGCCTCCTTGTCCTCTTCCTCCTTCCTCTCTTCCTCCTCCTCCTCCTCATCCTTCTCCTCATCCTCCCTTTTCCCTCATCCCCATGTTTCTTGTGCATCATCCCGCTTGGCACATTCGTTTTCAAATTCTGCAACCGCTACAAGGATCGAGTGACATCGTTTTCGAATGGGGGCTCTTGTTCTGACGCCGCGCGCATTCGTTCCCGAAGCTTGCGCCAACTACGAATATGGAGGGGATCGTTCTCAAAACCTAGCGCCGCGCGCGTTCGTTTCAATCACTTGCAATTGTTGTCCTTATCAACGTGGGTCAACTGCCGTAGCGCCGCGTGCATCCGTTTTTACAGCTCGTACCAGCTATAGGAATTATTGAGGACCGTTTCGATGCTAGTTTTTTGTGTTCGAAATCAGAGGGTCGAAATACTAGAACCTCCAAACTATGTAGCAGCCGCCTGGATGGAGGGCGGCTCCTCTTCTCAACTGGGATTCCCGAGTGGGACTTACTCGAAGTCTATGTCCCATGCGCACATGTGCACGAGTTTCGCAAATTGGAGGCGTCCCCCCAAAGAACCAGAGGCCTCGCCTGACACCTCTGTGAATGGAAGGGTCATGTCTTGTTGCATTCCTGACTGTTCGCAAGAAGAATGCAAGGAAACTCGTGTTCAAATCGTTGTCCCCTGAGTGGCAGGCCCATCGGGTGCATCTTTGACGCATGTGTTGGTTACTCTGGTCGTGTTCCTCCTCCTCCTCCTCCTCCTCCTCCTCCTCCTCCTCCTCCTCCTCCTCCTCCTCCTCCTCTCTATACACATCCACCCTACTCTTCCTTGATCCTCTGCTTCCCTCTCCCTCGACGTCCCCAGCGTCATCACTGATGCCCTGAACGCGCTGGGCAAAGCGCTGGGTTGGACAGGCACGCCCGCTTCCTCAGACCCTCAGATCCCGTTTGGCGTCGTGAGTCGTCACCATCATTGTCATCGGAGGAGGGAGGGGGGAGGAGGATGAGGAGGAGGAGGATAAGGAGGAGGACGGGATGGCGATGGTTGGAGGAGGAGGAGGAGGAGGTGGAGGCATAACAGGATGAGGATAGAACAAAGAGGAGGAGGACGACGACGAGAGTGAGGACGAGCAGCTGGAGCTGGGTCGCTCGGATGTTTGCGGATTTCCTTTGTGCGAGATGCGGTTGGCATTTGTTCTTTCTGTCTCTCTCTCTCTCTCTCCCTCGCGTTCTCTTTTTTTCTCTCTATCTCTCACTCTCTCTTTCTCATGATTTTCTCCATAACTGTATACATAACAGTACATGTACATATAGGTATCGGAGGCCTCTCCTCTCTCGGGCCGTCATTGGGCGCAGGGGCTCGCAGTTGCCAAGGTGTCCGCCAGAGTTGTTCCTGTGAGGCAGCTCGGCGCTGATTCAAGACTTGGCGCGCTGGCCGAGGGGTCGGAGCTACGACGGGACAGCAGCGAGGCATCTCCACGGGGCAGGCTTTTTGCGGTCGGGAGCTTCGGCTCATTGTGTCCACCGCGTTTCGGCGCCACACGCTGTCCACGGCCCAGTCCCGAGGCGTCAACGTCCCGAGCCTTTCCAAGCCTCCCGCCCCGCGGAGCGGAGCGTCACGCTATCCGCACGCATGTCATAGCGTGTCGCCAGGGATCGCCGCCGCGACACGACAAGCAACAGTTCCCGAAGGGGACTTCCCTGTGGCCCATAATAGATATGTTCGACTCCCGTTCGAGTATAGGTCGATTCCAGTTCGGCTCCAGCTCGACTCAAGTTCGACTCCAGCTGGACTCAAGTCGAGATACGTTTGATGCAGCATCGACGTATGAGTGGAACGAGTGGCTCCGGAAAGGTTCCGAGAAGGAGCATCTAATGTTTCCAGTCTCAGATGTTCGTACGTCGCGGCCCGTCTTGTCATCTTGAGTGCGTCGGGTCTGAGGCGACCCAGCTCAGGGATAATTTTGTATGGGCACGCAGGTTGGGGGTACGGCAGATGAGGGGAGACACAGCGAGAGAGAGAGAGAGAAAGAAAAACAAAACATATGAGAGAGTGAGAGTGAGAAAGAGAGAGAGAGAGATGAGGAGAGAGAGAGAGAGATAGCGAGAGCAACAAAGAGAGAGAGAGAGAGAGTGAAAAAGAGAAACAAAAAGAGAGGCAGAGACAGACATAGTGAGTGTGTGAGTCAAGTTGGCCAGGTCGATCAAGTCAGAGGGCCCCGCCTACTCGCACCGTCCCTCCCGCAACACAATCATCAATGGTTGCACCACTTGATAGTGGGATTGGACCGCGCTCCCACCTCGCACACGGGAGGTGCTCGCGTGCGGCCCCGGCACCGACGACTTGCCGAGGAGAACGTTGCGCCGTTGCGCAGGGGCGCGAGTGGCGAGACTTCCACCAATTGGCGCGGCGAAGGCGGGGCATGCGCCGCGTTAACACAGAATTGCCATTTTCGCTCACAAGTTGGGCGGCGCTTGGGCGAGGGGGTCTCGCCCGCTTTCACGCGGCCCCCGCTGCCGCTGCCGTGTGCATGCGCTTCGGCGAACGAACCATGCTCCGCGCCCGCGTTGGAGCGCCACTTCCGAGCGACATGCGCACGGAGCCTGGGCGAGGGCGACAGGGCGCCCATTCCCGCGGGCCTTGACAGTAGTAGCAAATGCCAGGGATGCCCCGCGGCGAGGCGGGAGCGCCACTTCAAGGGGAACCTGGGCGGCGCCGAGGCGAGAACGACATTTCCGTGCGCTCGCGGGACGACGAGCACGCGTGCGAAGCATGCGCGCGGTCTCCAAGAGGGAACTCGCCTCCCTAGAGCAATGGGCGCGCCGCCGAGGCGAGAGCGACATCTCGCCCTTTGCGCGCGGGATGTGTGCGCTGTTCCGCTCGAGCCACGTATGTTGCAGCGTGGGTGACTGAATGTTCATGTTGAGACGAAGCAAGCTGTTTTTAGTTAGTCGCTTCGCTCACTCTCCCAGCCATCCTGCGCACCCTGGAAGCTGTTTAGGGCTTCCTGGGGGCCTCGCCGGGCGCAAGGCTCGAATTGTTGGCTCGTGTTTTCCCTCTTTAAGCCCATCTTGGAGCCATTTTGGGGCTCTCTTGGGCTGTCGTGGGCGCCTCTTGAGCCGTTTCGGGGCTGTCTCGAGATGTCTTGGGACTCTCTTGGGGGGCTCTTGGGCCGTCATCGAGCGGTCGCGGGGCCCCTGGGGCCGTCTTGGAGTTTCGAATGCTTGAAAAGGTGAGTGTGACAAACATTGAAGAGCACACTCACAATTACTGAATTTCGTCTCTGTGAGCCCTCTTGGGGGCCCTCTGGGAGTGCTGCTTGGGCTTTTTCGGCAATTTTGAAGGCATCGTCGACCATCTTGCCGGCTTTGGTGGCCTCCCAGGTCCGTCTTGTAAGCCATCTTGGGCATCTGGGACGCATCTTGAGCGCATTGAAGAGCGCTTGGAACCCATCCCACCGTTGCGCGTGTGTTTTGGGTCAGAATCGTAAGAGGTGCTCGTGGCGAGCTAGAAGGAAGAGGAGGATAATGAGGAGGAGGAGGAGAAGGAGGAGGAGGAGGAGGAGGAGGACAAGGAGGAGGAGGAGGAGGAGGAGGAGGAGGAGGAAGAGGGAGGATGAGGATAAGGAGGAGGCCTCTCATTCGCTTCGTGGGGCGTTTTGGTGCCAAATCTGATCGTTGAGAAGACGCCTGTTTGGGAGGCTGCTTGGGGTCTCTCTCTTGGGAGGCCTCTCGGGGGCCTCTTGGCAGTCTTTCCCAACCCTCCTGCGTTGGGTTCTCGTATTGAATTGAGCAGTGCGGTCGCGTCTCCTCCTTCGCCTCCTCCTTCCCGCCTCGTTCCTCCTTTCCTCTTCCCCCATGCATCTCACCTTGCTCGTCGCCGCGTGCCAGCTTGCCTCCTGCCTGGTCATCCCTGTGTGGGGCTGCGATCTGCGAAACTGTCGCCACTTTCGAGGCCTGCTGGTGGGTCCAGCGGAGTGAGGCACCACGGGGATTCAGATTAGACCTCGCCATCTGTGGGGGTTGCGATCTGTGAAACTGTCGCCACTTTCGAGGCCTGCTGGTGGGTCCAGCGGAGTGAGGCACCACGGGGATGCAGATTAGACCTCGCCATCTCTGGGGTGGCTGCGATCTGTGACCAGTCGCCACTTTCGAGGGCTGCTGGTGGGTCCAGCGGAGTGAGGCACCACGGGGATTCAGATTAGACCTCGCCATCTGTGGGGGCTGGGGGGCTGCGATCTGTGAAACTGTCGCCACTTTCGAGGGCTGCTGGTGGGTCCAGCGGAGTGAGGCACCACGGGGATTCAGATTAGACCTCGCCATCTGGGGGCTGCGATCTGTGAAACTGTCGCCACTTTCGAGGGCTGCTGGTGGGTCCAGCGGAGTGAGGCACCACGGGGACTCAGATTAGACCTCGCCATCTCTGGGGGTGGCTGCGATCTGTGAAACTGTCGTCCCTTTCGAGGGCTGCTGGTGGGTTCAGCGGAGTGAGGCACCACGCGGATTCAGATTAGACCTCGCCATCTCTGGGGGGCTGCGATCTGTGAAACTGTCGCCACTTTCGAGGGCTGCTGGTGGGTCCAGCGGAGTGAGGCACCACGGGGATTCAGATTAGACCTCGCCATCTCTGGGGGGGCTACGATCTGTGAAACTGTCGCCACTTTCGAGGCCTGCTGGGGGGGGGGCCCAGCGGAGTGAGGCACCACGGGGACGGGGACTCCGATTAGACTTCGCCATCCCTGGGGGGGGGCTGCGATCTGTGAAACTGTCGTCACTTTCGATGGCTGCTGGTGGGTGGCCAGCGGAGTGAGGCACCACGGGGATTCAGATTTGACCTCGCCATCTCTGATTTCCCGACCCTCCTGGTTTGGGTATTCGTTTTGAATAGAGCAGTGTGGTCTCCACTCCTTCCTGCCTTCCTCCTCCTCCCTCCCTCCCTGCCTCTTCCTGTCTTGCCTGCGGGGGGCTGCGATCTGTGAAACTGTCGCCATTTTCGAGGCCTGCTGGGGGGCCCAGCACAGTGAGGGCCCCGCGCAAATTCAAATTAGACTTCGCCATCCCTGGGGGGGCTGCGATCTGTGAAACTGACGCCATTTTCGAGGCCTGCTGGGGAGCCCAGCAAAGTGAGGGCCCCGCGCAGATTCAAATGAGACCTCGCCATCCCTGGGGGGCTGCGATCTGTGAAACTGTCGCCATTTTCGAGGCCTGCTGGGGGGGCCAGCAACGTGAGGGCCCCGCGCAGATTCAAATTAGACCTCGCCATCCCTGGGGGGGCTGCGATCTGTGAAATTGTCGCCATTTTCGAGGCCTGCTGGGGGGCCCAGCACAGTGAGGGCCACGGGCAGATTCAAATGAGACCTCGCCATCCTTGGGGGGTCTGCGATCTGTGAAACTGTCGCCATTTTCGAGGCCTGCTGGGGGGCTCAGCACAGTGAGGGCGGCGCGCAGATTCAAATTAGACCTCGCCATTTCTGGGGGGGCTGCGATCTGTGAAACTGTCGCCACTTTCGAGGCCTGCTGGTGGGTCCAGCGGAGTGAGGCACCACGGGGATTCAGATTTGACCTCGCCATCCCTGGGGGTGGCTGCGATCTGTGAAACTGCCGCAATTTTCGAGGCCTGCAGGGGGGCCCAGCACAGTGAGGGCCACGGGCAGATTCAAATGAGACCTCGCCATCCCTGGGGGGGCTGCGATCTGTGAAACTGTCGCCATTTTCGAGGCCTGCTGGGGGGCCCAGCACAGTGACGCCACGGGCAGATTCAAATGAGACCTCGCCATCCCTGGGGGGGTGCGATCTGTGAAACTGTCGCCATTTTCGAGGCCTGCTGGGGGGCCCAGCACAGTGAGGGCCACGGGCAGATTCAAATTAGACCTCGCCATCCCTGGGGGGCTGCGATCTGTGAAACTGTCGCCATTTTCGAGGCCTGCTGGGGGGCCCAGCACAGTGAGGGCCACGGGCAGATTCAAATTAGACCTCGCCATCCCTGGGGGGCTGCGATCTGTGAAACTGTCGCCATTTTCGAGGCCTGCTGGGGGGCCCAGCACAGTGAGGGCCACGCGCGGATTCAAATTAGACCTCGCCATCTCTGGGGGGGCTGCGATCTGTGAAACTGTCGCCACTTTCGAGGCCTGCTGGGGGGCCCTGCACAGTTACGCCACGGGCATAGTCAAACGAGACCTCGCCATCCCTTGGGGGCTGCGATCTGTGAAACTGTCGCCACTTTCGAGGCCTGCTGGGGGGCCCAGCGCAGTGACGCCACGGGCAGATTCAAATGAGACCTCGCCATCCCCTGGAGGCTGCGATCTGTGAAACTGTCGCCACTTTCGAGGCCTGCTGGGGGGCCCAGCACAGTGACGCCACGCGCGGACCCAAATGTGACCTCACCATCCCTGCGGGGCTGCGATCTGTGAAAGTGTCGCCGCTTTCGAGGCCTGCTGTGATCCCCGTTTTCGAAGTGGCTAGGAGTGCTCAGGAATTGTAACTCATCAGCTTTATCAAGCCCTTTTCCTGTAGCCAGTGTCCTGCGAGTCTCCCGAATTCCGTCTGCAGGCATATGTAACCCTCGCTCCGTCATCGCCCCCTTATAAAGTATCCTAAACTATTTGCGCCCCGCTTTTGCGCAGGGGTTGGGTACGTCGCCAGGGTAATTTTCTGACCTCCTTGGGCCTCTCGGGGTCTTTTGCGAGCCTCTTTGGGGCTTCTTGGGGCCTTCTAGGGGCCTTTCGGGGCAGAGAGGTGAAATATCCGTTCGGGTGCTTCGTCAGGGCCCGCTCTTTGAGCTATCTTGGGGGCCTCTTGGGCCGTCTTGGAGGGTTCTTTGGCTGCCTTCGGTCCCTTTGGGGCCGTTTTGGGGCCCTCTTGGAGGCGTCTTGGGCCGTATTGGGGCGATCTTGGGGGCGTCTTGGGCCGTCCTGGAGCGCGGGTAAGACGAAAAGGCGAGAACGCTTAAATCCTTGAAAGAACAACGGGCGTCCATTACTTTTTGCCTCTGGGGGCCCTCTTGGGAAGGCTCTTGGTGGCCTCTTGGGTCGTTTGAAACGCGGGGGCCTTTGGGGGCCCTCTTGGAGCGCTCTGGAGAGCCTGAAAGGCAGATGGACAACCATCTCGGTGACGAACCGGCGTTTTTTTTTCGCCTGAGAACCTCCAGGGGCCGTCCCGCGCGCGCGAAGTAGAAATATTGCAACGCAGTTACCGGAGATCTTAGCACGCCTCTGGCCGGTTGGGACAGCGTTGATAGCTCTCGGCAGGTTTTGTGGCAGAACGGTGGTTCCATCTCAAAAATGAGTAAGGATGAGACTGACATATCTATATATATATATATATATATACATATCTATATATGTAGATGCACACGCAAAACAGAAAATAACGATAGAGGGAGAGAGAGAGAGAGAGAGAACAACAACACATAGCGATATAACGAGAGAGAGAGAGAGGCATAACGCTACATATATTTGCATGTACTCTACGAGCCTACACGTAGTATATGTATATGAGTATATACATATATATATGTATATATATGTGTATATGTGTATATGTGTGTCTGCGCACATACACACATATATACAAATACACAAATGAGCGGCCACGAGAGAGAGAGAGAGAGACACGAACAAGAGACAGAGAGAGAAAGAGAGAGAGAGAGAGAGAGAGAAACAAACAACAACAACAAAAGGAGAGAGAGAGAGAGAGAAAAACAAAAAAGAGATGCGCACCACTCCAGACAGTGTTCGTCCAGGCCCCGAGGATACGAACGCCCCTCAGACCCACCCCACAAGGCCAGAGGGGCCGCTTACGAAACGGGGATGGCGGAACGACCCCCCCCCCGGGCGCGGCCTATAGGGGCCCCGGGCTGGAAAGCCATGCCGGTATGCGATGGTCAGGTCGCTAGAGGGCCCGTCCGCGCAGCCGCGGCAGAAGCGCCGCCTTCACGCGCGCTGGCATGCGCGATGCGCGGCATGGTGGTGGAGTCTGGTCCGTTTGAGCTTGGGCCGGCGATGCAGGTGGCGCCACGTGGCCCATGAAGGCCTTCCGATTTGACCGCGTGAATACCGTGCTCAAGCTGGTGGCATCGCTGGGCGGGGGGCGGCTTGGCTGCTGGCGTCGCTGGTGACCATTGTTTCGAACCGTCTGGCGGCGTTGGCCGCTTGGTCGGTCATGCCTGGAGCGCCTGGTTTAAGGTACCACTCTTCACCGGACACGTCATCGTAGCTCATGTCCTCCAGCTGTTCGGGCGTGGGCAGGGGTGGAGATTCGGTGCCTGCAATTTCGGTGGCCCCCTCAGCCAGGTCGCAGTCTTTTGTGTCGTTCAAGGCGATGGGGGCTTTGGTCCGGTGTGATGTTGACCTTCTTTTTGGCGCTGCTGGCTGGTTGGCGCGATCCCCGTTTACCGGCGCCGCGCGGCTTTTTCCCTGATGGCGGGGTGCGCGGGGGCAGTGTCGCGCTGAGGTTCGGCTGTGGTTTGAGCGGGGCCTGGAGGTGCGGTCGGGCAGCGTGGCCCGGCAACTGGCTTCTCCGCCGCGACGGTCTCGACGATTGTGGCCGCTGGTCCTTTCGGGGAGTCGGTCTCGGCCAGATCGGGGCCCTCGGTCTTTGCGATGGTCCGGGGAACTGTGGAACCTTGGACGTGGGCCGCAGCGTTCGGGGGTTGGGGTAAGCCGCTCGGATTATGGCGAAGTCGACCCAGGGCATTTTGTCCCAGCGTTTGTCTTGGACTTCGCAATGCCGTTTGATGGGTGAGAGGACCTTGGCAATTCGCGCTTCGGTTGCGCTCTGCGGCTCAACCCCCGTGACGTTGTGCTCGGTTAGCGGCGCGGCGCCATTCCCCGTAATCCGAAGACAATAAGCTTCGCTTCCTGGGTGCCAGGCTTGACCATGATGCCCATTCGTTTGTCCGCTCGGACAGCACCGTCCCATTTGTGCTTCAGTGAGGTGTTTGACGCGCATTGAAGCGTGGTCTGGTGACCGCCTGGGTAACGCACAGTGATGTTGTCACTGGGCGGAGGCCCTGCGTTGCCGCGGTAGCTGATGTCGAACTAGATGCCTCCATGTCTGAGGTGGAGAGCGCCAGCGGGGAGTCGGTAGGTCTGATGCCGGAAGTGGCCGTGAACATGCGTTTTCCGATTGCTGTTCCGTGGGGTTTTGGGAGTTCCATGGCTTCTTGCATGTGGACAGTGCGAAGTGGGGTAAACACGCGACAGTGAAAGCGCCCGCGAGGTCGTCGTTAAGTTGCTTGTGGGAGGCGTGCTTTTCTATGGGTCCGTTGCGTTCCCGCGCCTTGTGTAGCGCCATGCCTGGTCCTCCTTGGGGCGGGGCGGTTTCCATCGATGAGCGCAGCGCCTGAGAATTGTGCAATGAGAAATTCCCCGAGCGTGGGCAGCCTCACAGATAGCGACACGGATCCTGATCACGTCGTTAGTTGTGTCGAGAGTGATTTGCACGACGTTTTGGATGCATTTCATCTTGTCCCGTCCGAGCTATTAAATGGACCCTTGCATGTGCCCTGGCGTGGAATTGGCAGCCTTGGCCGTACGACGGATGACTGGGATGAGGCTCTCGCGTCCTGGGCAATCGGTGTTGATAGGACCCAGAAATGCGAGGTTTGTCTTGTGTTCGGATCTGCTGTAGCAGACGACCGGCGTGGAGCAAGGTCGTCGCCCTATTTCTCGGGCGCGGTGGTTACAGGGGCGTCCCAGCTCTGCGCATCCAGGCTGATGAGAGGCGCCTTGCCGTTACCCTGGTAGGCTTCGGCGTCGACCGTGGTTCTTGGTGGGCTACGGTATGAGGCCTTGTTGCGCGTGAAGGAAGTAGCGCAGCATGGTGTAGCTGATCTGATGTCTCCCGCGCAATATCATTCGTTCGCCCCTGGGTCTTCGTTGGTCAGAGCGGTGCTGTTGGCAGGTAGTATCGAATTCGGTGTGTTGGTCGTTAGACAGTTCGTTGTATGCAGCGACTGCCCTGTCGACGCCACCTCCACTTTGGAGTGCGGCGGCTGAGGCTTCCTTTCGGGACTGGTTGCTGTCTGGTAAGGTCGCCTTCTGCCGGCCTCTGCCTGGTGGCTTGGGCAGCCGTGGTGCAGTGGGCGCGCGGCGGGGGCCTCCCGGAGCCATTTCGCGCGCGGGACTGAAGGGATGCGACGCCAATCTGTCACGGCCCGCGGGGGGGGCCGTGTCCGGTTTCGCGAGGCACGAGTGGATGCAGGGCGCAGGGCATGTGGGATCGATTTGACAAATGAAGTTTCTTGAGCCGAGGCCAAGAGAGAACGAGAGAGAGAGGGGGACACAAGAACCTTGGAGGGGCAGGAAGAAAGAGATAGAGAGAGGGGGCGAGAGAGATGGACGCAGGTAGGGAATGACGACACGTTGGAAGGCAGGGAACGGGTCAATCAAGAGAGCAGGAAAATGAAAGTGGCAAGGGGAGGCGGGGGAGGGCTCACCAGCCGAACACGGACCCCCCCCCATCCTCCTGTTTTGCAGCCGAGGGTTTGAGTGACGTCGCCCCTGCATCTGACCGTCTGCATTGGGAACTGGAGCGGGTTCCTCAAGCTTGTTCTGAGCTCGGCCTGAAGGACTGAGATGAGACTGCACCGTTCAGGGGCTTATTAGATATGGCCCGAGTGCGCAGATAGGGTCGGAAGATCGCGCCGCATCGCCGCTTCTTCGACGATGCGGATGAAGGTGGAGCCCCATTTTCTCCACGCCGACGTCGCAGATGCACCTCAGGCGTCGGTGGTGTGCATCGCCGCTGCATAGGCGATCCATCAGCTATGCGGCCCGATCCTCCGACCCCAGCTATTTGGACCCCATCTTGGACGTCTTTGACCCTGGAGGGCCCCAGCGCCGTGGCTTCGGGCTGCGCCCTGCAGGTTCCTCCTGCATCAACGACCTGCTCAGAGTCAAGGCGCGGGGGGAGGCGGGGCTCGTCGGGGAGCCCGCCGGGCCGCAGTCGGCGGGCCTCGGCAACCTGCGACTCCTACCAAGAGCTCGTCCTCCTCGTTTTCTTCTCCACCTCTCCCTCTGGTAAGGCTTGGGGTTGCGCGCAGACAACCTCCCCAGGTAGTCTTTGGCTGGCCTCAACAGTCCCCCCGAGTAGTCTCAACGGGTTCAACACGCCCCCCGACGGGCCTGCTGAGGCCAGCCAGCACTAGACTACCTGGGGGGCTGTCTGTGCGCAACCCGAAGCCGTACCACCCCCCCTCCTCCATGTCTGTAAATATTGCCGTCGTTGTTCTCCTTTTCCGTCCTCTGTCTCTCTCTCCCCCCTCCCCCCTCCTCCCCTTCGGGTCGTCCGGGGCTCGGCTCGCCTCCTTGGTTTCGGGCCCTCGCCTAGTTTCTGTCGGATGGGGATCTCGACGTCCCCCGAGCGCGTGAGGGCCGCGTGGCAAACAAGTCCCTGTCGCAGGCGGTGGCGCTTGCACAGGACATTCTAGGCCTCCCAGACGGGGTCGGAGTAGATGGGGTCGAAGGATCGCGCCGCACCGCCGATGCCTCGGCAACGCAGCTCGTTGTGGAGCCGATGATTTCCACACCGACGTCGCCGATACATCGCCGACGTCGCTGATGCGTCGCCGATGCATCGCCAATCCATCGGTGATGCATCGACGATGCGGCGCGATCCTCTGACCCCATCTGCTCCGACCCCATCTGGGATGATTCTAAATATGGCCAGAACCAGGATTTCCAGGCAGTCATGGGCCATCAGTGGGACCACTTCGACAGCCACGAGAATGACGCGCAGGAGGGCGAGGATGAAAAGCAGGCGGATGACGACGAGGAGGAGGAGGCGGAGGAGGAGCAATAGGAGGAGGAGGAGAAGGAGGCAGGTGCAGGAGGACGCGGTGTGGACAACGAGGGAGGATGGAAGAGGGAGCAGATTGGGGGAGCATGGAGGAGGATGAAGCGAGGACAATATGAGGTTCGCCAGGAGCAGGAGGACGAGAATGATGAGGATAGGAGATGGAATCTGGGTGCCAACACTCATTGAAACGGTTCGGATAGGTTCTGGTGTTGTTCTCACGGTCGGCCGTCTCGTTTGAATCGTTTATTTGCGTTTGTTTTAGCCTTCGGCCGCCGCCTTGACACGCTCAGTAACAGTTCCCCAACCTAGCATCATCGTTCGGCTTTGGTTGTGCGTTGGGTTCTGCTCTGCTCCGCTCTGGCCGCACCTGCTGTGCATGGAGGGGGGAGGGAGTGCAGCAGACGCTGGCGAAGCTGCACAAGAAGAGCGGCGTTGTCTTGGACGCGCAATTCCTCAGGCAGAACCGCGACGTCTTCGATGTCTTTTACAAGGACACCGAGGCACCCAGACGCTGCGCCCACTGATCGCCGAAAGGTAATTGATAGCTCATTCCGCTCAGGATCGATCCATCGGCAATGTTTCCCTCCCTGAGCCAGCCCCCTATATTTGCCACTCATGTCGTCATCCCTCAAACTTGGCTGCCCTGGCCGGTTCTACGTACATTTTGCGATCGTTCAAGGCCTATATTGGAGGGTGTCGCCTCCCATGGGCTGTTTGCTTGATCGGTTTCGTTGCGAACAACCTGCTCCAGGAATCAAGCCATACGAAACTCATCTTGCCGGTGCCCCCGATATTTTTCCAGTGATGGGTTTCTCGCAGATCCTTGAAAGATGTATTAATTGGAATAGCGCCAGCATATGATTGTGCCAACAGCGCCCGATTGTGTGTGTGAGCCATCACGTTGTTGACGAGGTCGAATGCTGCCACTGACCTGCATGTCGTGATCTTATCGCTGGTGTCGCGCCGGTGAACACTCGGGAAATACAGGATCGGACCTGGCGGCAACATGCACTGCTCGCCATTCCGCTTATTTGCGAAAGCAATCGGGCACCCTCCCCACGGGTGTGACTTTCGGAAGTGCAACCAAGCAGGGCGTTGCGGGGGCACGTAGTCATTTTGGCTCAAGTTGTTTTGACATACCATTTTGTATCAAACGCAAGGGCCTGCACTCACTTTATTGTTCAGTTGCCTCTTCTGCCATCCGAGAAGCAGTAACATGCATTTGTCAGCGAAGGGGCGCTATGTTGCTCGAGGCTCTGCGAGTCTCGGAATGCAGCAAATCTGGGGTATCCCCTGCGCTAATCCCTTGAACGTTGCAGAGGGGGCCTTCTGGCTTGGCCGTGACCCACCATTCGCAAACATTTCTGCAAAGTGTTTTGCTATCAGGTGTTGCACGCCGCACGCTCGTCTCGAGCGTCGCGCGCGGCTCGATTTGTCGCTGCGTTCTGATGCTTACCCTGAGGCCACGTGTGAGACCTAACTGGACCATTGCGCAGTTATTTAGATCGGGACGGGCGTGTTGATTCATATCTTATGTTTCGAAACCGCCGTATGTGTATGACAAGTATCTCAGAACGGTACAGCCCTTGTATTATGCAAGACGCATTTTGGCGGGAGTTTCTGCAAGGGACGTCGTATCAACGGCTACTAGCAGGCAGCATTGACATGGATTATGTTTGGTGGTGCAGCGCGCAGCGGTGCTGCATCGAGGCTTTCATCAGCTTCGCTGTGTAACAGTGAACAGCCTGAACTTGGCTCAGGCAAGACACCATATTGTCTTATGGCGCGTTCGAGACACGGAATCCGCATGAGTGAGCTTATGCGATGGGACAGCGAGGTTCGAGCGACCATTTGGGCGTACTTGGCTGGCTTCTTTGATGCAGAGGGCGCATCAATATTCCGACAGCAAGCCAACATATCTTTTCAGTTAATAAGCAGAAGCGCGGAGAAGTGTTAATCCCACCAGCCCTCGGGGCGTAGGTGGCCTGGGGAGGCTCCTCTTCCAATCCCCATTTTTCCTTGCGGGGGCGGGGATCACCCCGCCCCCATTACCCTCTCCCTTTGACCTGGACCTGGACGGGGGTGGTCGCGAGGGGTTGGAGCGCCCAAGATGGCCCAAGACGGCTCCAAGAGCGCCTCAGAGAGCCCAAGATTGTTTCCACGATAGTTCAAGATAAAGCAAAATCGCGCAAGCTGGTTTCCAAGCTTCAAAAAGCCCGTAAGACGGCTTCAAAAGCCCCGTAAAGGCCAACATCTTTTCAACACCATAGGATTATGAGCGCTGTTTGCGTTCTCGCATTTTCGGTTCCGATGCCACCCCGGGCCCAAGATGGCTCCAGGATGGCCCACGAGGGCCCCAGGAGAGGCCCAAGAAAACTGCCAGATTTCCCCAAGAACGCCTAAGAGCGCTCCAAGAGCGCCCCAAGAGCGCCCCACGAGCGCCCCGTCCTACCTCTCGCAAAAACGCGTCGCAAGCAGGCGATCGCCGCGAGACGCCTCGACCCGACTCCGAACGCCAGCGCGCGAGCGGCCCTCGCGGCAGGGCGTGGTTGCAACGCACCCCGCCCATTGGAGCACCTCGCGCGCACGACATTGGAGCATCCGCAGGAAGAACGTGGAGAATGCTCCCCGCTTTAGCGGGAGTTCGGTGAATGGGCCAAACAGGGCGACGTTCCGGGGCTGGCGGGTTCTGGGCCCCTTGGGGGCATCTATCTTGTTCGACATTGCTGGGTGCTTTGAACGGTCGCAGGGCAGGGAGGAGCTACCAGGGGGTTTGTTTCGATGAGGTCCGCGACCAGTCCCACAATCACAACAAAACATTCGGATCTGCATTGCGATTCCAGAGGGTATCATGGCATACGTTCTGGCCGACACGTGGCCGCTAAGCATCCCCGGCGCCGACAATTACATTATCGCCAGTGCGGCTCGGATACGTTGGGAAGAGCAACTTGCGAAATATGTGTTCCCTAGACAATGCGGGCTCCTACCGAAACGATCCAGCCTGGCCAATCCTCTGGACGTGAACACTTCCAGCATGATCGCGTCCCTCCAGCAAGACAGCGGGGCCTGTTTCCTGATGGACTTTGCTTCGGCGTTCTTTTCGATATCAGAGGAGTTCATGGTCGCCGCGTTACTGTCGATCGGCATGCCGGCCCAGGCCACGTGTGCCATCTACGCTCTGTGCGCTGATTCGAATTGCAAGGTAAAGCACGGCGCGGGCCAGGCGACGGGCTTTCATGTCAGCAGGCGTGAGACCGGGTTGGCCGTTCTCGCCGCTTCTCTACGCCACATCCGCAGAGCTGCTCATGGAGCGCATCGAGCAGGAGTGCCCTGACACTCTTGTTTGGGCCTGCGCAGATGACGCAGCAGTGGCGCTCGCGGGTCACCAGCAAGAGGCGCCAGTTGACAAAAGCATTTTAGAGAGTGGACCAGCATGCTGGTGGCAGACAATAAGCACCCGCGTGCGGGCCGCGCCGCGGCCTCGGGTCGGCCCTCCGGGGGGGATCTCGTTGACGCAGTAGAGACCCCCACTGCGTGCTGGATCTGTTACGGGGCGCCCATCCCGTAGAACCCCTTTTCTGGATTCTGTAGCAGTTCGGAGCAGGCCAGGAGCTGTAACGGCAACCAGCGCGACGGTCCGCACATGGGCATTCCTGTAGGCCGGAGCTTTATAAGGCACTCCCACATGTAGGTCGGCTGGCCCACCCACCTGTCAGGCTGCGACCCGCGGGCCGGTTGAATTCCCTGCATGTCTTTGGCCCCCCCGCCACTGCCTACGCGGTAGCACGAGCACCGAGAATCCCGAAGCTGGGAACACCCCGGGCACCTCGTCAGCATATGACCCCGGTCAGCAGACAGTCCCTCGTGCGAGGTACTTCTCCAGCCCAGAGCCACGCCCGCCAGAGCCTCGTTAGCCGCGTCAACCACGTGCCGTTGGCGCCCTTCCACCCCGGAGGGTAGCCCGCGAAACCTCCGGCGAGCCGGAGGGGGCGGGAGAGGCTGCCACAGCGCCGTGGGATCGTTCCCGCTCCCCGCCAGACTTTCGTCGGTAGGTGAGGTTGGACTTTCGGCAGCAGTGTGGCAAGGATTGCCTGCAACGCGTTCACCGTCGCTACGCCAGGAAGCATGGGCCAATTGGGAAAGATGCCTCAAGAGACGTCGGCGCTGGAGGAGTCGCACCCGCGCGGACTTAGACAGGACCTGGGGAATGAGAGACGCCAGAAAACTCGCGGCGTCTCAAGGAGCACCTCGGCCAGTCGTCGTCGTGCCACAGCGTTCGCCTGCTCGCCCAAGCATCGCAGTTTCGAGCCCGCGCGTGGTATCCTGAGCGCGATGCACGGTATCTCCGGGAAGCTCTGGATCTCTCGCGCCATCTACGCAGACGAGTCGGGTGGGCCGAGTGGCACCCCGGGGCTTTTGCGCTCACCCTCGATGACAACCTGCAGTGGTTTGCGCTGCGTGCCTGCAAGCTCAGCAACTTGAAGAAAGACCCGGCAGAGCCAAAGGACGACGGCGGACACAATGACGCGGTCATCGCCGCCGAGAGCGGGGGCGGCGGGGGCGGCGCCGGCCAGGAGATGCCAACGCACCCTACTCGTTCCACACCCAGGGAACGATTTCCAGCGCTGGGCTCCCTGAGACTACTCGCGCGCGACGCCCCGCGCCTCGCATTTCGCGCCCGTCGCAAACGCTCGCGCCGGGCCTTGAAAAATGCCGCCGTGCACCCGCCGCCCCCAGGCGCGAGCAGCAGACCCAACGCGCCCGCCTGGCAGGCCTCTCCCTCTTGCGAATCGGCGTCCACTTCCCGCCGTGGCTGGGGATCTGCGGCTCAGTCTTCTGCGCCTCGCGGGCCAGGCGGCGCGCGCGCAAAAGGTGCGGACAGAGACATTCGCCGCGCGGCCGCCGCGCATTGGCGCGCGGCGGGGCAGCCGAGGGATCCATCGAACGCTTTTTCTGAAGCCTGGTGGCGAAGCACCCAATGGAGTGAAGGCTGAATCTTCGGCGTTCTACCCGCGCGAATTTCAATTTTTCCCGCTGCGCAACGGGGGGTTTGTGCCACCTACAGCCAGGGCGTCGACGCCCACGACGCGGTCGCGCGGGGTGGGGCGGGGGGGGGGGGGGGGGGCGAAACGCAATGGCAGCGCGACTTGAACGCTAGACAACAGGTGGCGCCCTGAACGACGAGAGAAGCCGATCCCACCTATCCCGACGCACCTCCTGATTGCGGCGGCCGACGCTGGCCCCCGTTCCACTTTCGACCCCAGTTCCGATTCCAACGGAGACAGCCGCGAAGGTCCACCGGCAGCCACCACGACCAGCAATAGCCACCACGACCTCGACCAGAAGCAGCCACCACGACCGCGCGCAGCCGCCACGACCAGACAGCCACTGCGACCACGGACTGCCGCCATGACCAGAAACAGCCACCACGACCACGACCAGAAACGCCCAACACGAACGCGAACGGCCACCGCGACCAGAAACCATTACGGCCGCGGACTGCCACTATGACCAGAAACATCCACCACGACCACGACCCGAAACAACGATCTGAAGCAGCCACCGCGACCGCGACCAGAAACAGCCACCGCGCCCACAAGCAACCACCGCGACTGGGAACAACCACCACTACACAACTACGACCACGGGCAGCCCCCGCGACCAGGAACAGCCGCAGCGCCCACGACCGCGCACAGCCACCGGCGACCACGAACAGCCACCACGCCCACGGACAGGCACCACGACCAGGAACAGCAATTGCGACCACGACCAGAAACAGCCATCAAGATCACGAACAGCCACCGCGAACAGAAGCAGCCACCGCGACCAGAAACAGCCACCACGTCATCATGTTGCTCATCGTAGTCATGTCAAACACTGTCGTCGCTCACTGGCGAGAGTGCCGGGCGGCTCGCGTCGGTCAATGGAGGGGGGACAGGTTGCGCCTTCCATGGCTGGGTCCGAGACGTACTTCGGCAGCCAATGTTGTTCTCCATGCCTACGAGGAGACAGGCAGACGGATCAGCGTGGCAAGACGCAGACGGCGTCCGAGATGTGTAACATGTGCGTTGCGTGCTGTCGCCTGTGCTGCCGATCCGATGACGTTCCGTTCCTGCCTTCCTTTTACCGGGCCGAGCCGCCAGCGGTCGAAGGGGCGTTTCCCGGGCGATTCCCACGCCGACTGGCTCGTCTACACTCGCGCCGACCAGCTCACCGCTTGCTGCGCTGGCCAGTCACCGACTCGACCAAGTCGCCGAGTCCCGCGCCGAGTGGCTCGCCGACTCCTGCGCCGACAAGCTCGCCGACTCCCGCGCCGACCAACTCGGCGGCCCCCTCCCCGGCCAGCTCGCCGACTCCGGCGCCGACCAGCTCGACGACTCCCGCGCCAGCCAGCTCACGGACTCCCGCGCCGACCAGCTCGCGGACTTCGGGCCGACGACGACCCCTTCCGACACCAGCTCTGGCTCCGAATGTATTGATCTACAACCCCTGCTCTGGCTCCCCCTCCAGCGCCTGCCCCGGCCACGGCGCCAACTCCAGCGCCAGCGGGGGCTCCGACTCCTGCGCTCGCTCCAGCTCCACCACGCCGCGTGAAGGCTGATTCGCGCGGGCGCGAGCTTCTCGCGCTCCTTCTTCGTTCGCGCATCGTGGCGACGTTTCGTTGGCGCCGACCGTTCGTGCGACGAGTTGGCGAGGGGCGCCTTCGCGGGCCAAGCCGTCGTCGCCGCGTCGGGGCGCTCGCGCGCGAGCTTTTTTCCGGTGGCGCTGCGAAGCCGCGTTCAGGTCGGTGCCCCGCCGCTCGGGCGCCGGCATTAACACTCCAGTCCCGTATCTTCTGTGTTCCGGGATTGTGCGTTCTTCTTTGGTGCGCGGCGTGCGCGCTCGCGCCGGGCGGGGCCTTGGAACTTCGCCGCGAAGTCGGATCATCGGCTGTCCAACAGAAATACTTCCGGCATCAAAGGGGCAGGCCTAGTTGAGGCGCCTCTCATTTTTGGGTCAGCGTCTTCCAAGGCGGCTCCAAGAGCGCCCCCAAAGCTCCCAAGAGCGCCCCAAGAGTTCCCCAACAGGCGCCCAGACGGCCCCGAGAGGCGCCGAATGGGCCTCCAAGGGGCTCCCAAGAGACCCCCGGGAGGCTTCGAGAGGATCCCCGAGGCACCCGCGACGCTCAAAGACGGCCCCAGGCCCGCCAGGATGCTCCCGAGATGGCCCCCAGCCGCCCGGCAGGTCCCGACCTGTAGTGCGCGAGTCGCCTGGAGATGGTGCGCGACCTGTGGTGCGCGACCGTTGCGCCTCATGATGCGCGAGTTGTGGTGCGCAGCCTGCCTGGTGATGGTGCGCGACCCGTGGTGCGTGACCTTGCCGGGCTGCCGATTGGCCGTCCAGGTCGAAAGGGAAGTGGGAGCAGGGGGTAGGACCAGGCACTCATAGGCCCCAGCGAGCCCCCAAGAGGCCGCGACAAATTCCGAATGACGCTCCCAAGCGGTTCCAAAACAGGCCCGACGAAACTTCCAAGATGCATCCAAGACGCCGCGGGAGTTGTTCGGAACCGCGATAAAGCTCCCAAGAGGCTCTAAGAGGCAAGTTCGCGCACAGTTGGAGCGTACAAGATGACCCAAGATGGCTCCGAACGCCGAAGAGATCCTGGGAGACGCCGAGACGGATCCAAAAAGCTTATGGTCTTGGTGTTCGCCCTCGTTCTCCTCCTCCTGCTGCTCCGCGTCCGCAAACTCATCATCCTTTTCCCTTCCCCCATCACAGTTCCTCCTCCTCCTCCTCCTCCTCCTCCTCCTCCTCCTCCTCCTCCTCCTCCTCCTCTTGCTGACCAGCAGCAATTTCAGCGCACTGACAGGTGCGCAGCTCCATTTTCGAGTGCGTACGGCGCACGCGCATGTAGGCACCCGAACTGCTGCCCAGGTCGCTCGTTCCTCCTCCTTCTCCTCCTCCTCCTGCCTCGAACTACACCGGCTCTCCCCCTGTTTGCTCTTAAAGTTCTTTGATCGTCTCAATTCGCCTGGGCGTCGGTTTTGGATGGGCTGGTGGGGATGCGCGAAGCGTCGAGAATTCGTGCCAGGTTCTTGATACAGCACGCATTTCCCGACATCCATGCGCATGGTAGGAAATAGGATGCAGGACTGTGTGCGTTCACCTTGCCAGGGTGGGCAGGTGACTTTTTCTTGTCTTGTTTTCCCCAGCGGAACATTCGTTACCCCGGCCAACCCCGCCCCCCCCCCCCAAGCTGACGCTGGCGATCGTGTTGGGGAGGGTGGCCTGGACCCCCCCCCTGCATGCTGTGCTGCAAACAGGCGATTGATGCGCCCGTGGCGCGGGCGCACCGTGGCGGGTGCACACCGCGGCCGCCGTTCCTATGACCCTCCCGCCCGCAATCCCTCACTCCGGCAAAGAACGTTGGCCGGGGCACAACAAATGGCCAGGAGCGGCCGGAATTTCGCAGGGACAAAGGAAAGCCACGACTGGCCAATCTTCGGAACGAGCTCCGGTAGCATAGCCCGACACGAGGCATTGTACAGCATATAGTTGTGGATTCATGTTCGTGTTGTTCGTCTGCGACAGTGGCACCGCATCTCATGAAATCGAAAGCTGGGTGTTGTCCGGGGGCCGCCCACGATCACAAACTCCTGCGGGAAAGCCCCGAGGCACCTCACCGTCGGGGGCATTGTGAGGAATTTATGCTGTCCTGAAGGTGCGCCCTGTGGGGCCAATTTTCGCGGCACGTGCTGGATTTCGCATCTTCGTGCGTTGGTACCTCGAACCATAGGTTGCGCCCTGTCTTGTTGGAGTACGTGGCAAACAGAAGGGGGACCTTCCTGAAAGAGACTACAATGGAACCCTTCGGGTAGTATTACGTTTGGAAGTTCCGAGGCTCATGCCTGGCGCATCTGTACAAGACCACCAGATCTTTGCGCAGATATTGCAGAGGTTACGCCGTATTATCCTTTGCACAACCCCCCCTCCTGGAGTGCCAGGAGCAATGTGGTCAACACAGTATCCCAGAGAGTGCGTGGGGGCGGCAAGCCAACGCGTTTTGTGATTGACAATTTTCATGGGCGCCTGAAATATGTTTTGGGGCGCAAGAGGGAGATTGCCTTTTCCCGAACGAATTTGTCACTTGGCAGTTATGTTTCTTGGGAAAGCACGCGGCTGAACATTCCCCTCAAGCGGAATCCGTCTACTGAAATAGTTCGACGCTTTTTTGCACGTGGATCTTTTTTTCATCGGCCCTTTTCATCACAAACTTTCGGGTTGGGACAGAAACGCATTGGGCCATCTCTTTGGGTGGCGCCAATTGTTCAGCGGAGCGCATTTTCAGAACATGCAACACATGGTCAGTGGCACACAGTCGCCGAGTTGTCATGTCTCTGTCTGTATTGTTTGCACCTCTCCAAACAAGTAATTGTTCCAGTCGCCTATTTTGCACGACCCCCGAGAGTTTGGCTGCAATTTTTCGGAGGTTAGATTCCGAATCGGCGCTGGTATATCCGTGGTCGAAAACTGGCGTAATCTGGCATGGCATACTCTTGCTTAATCCTGCTTCTCGTGCGGCAGGAGGAGAGCGAGGAGGAGGAAGAGGAGGAGAGCCTTGGACATCTTGTGCCCATTGGCTTATATGTGGTTCGCCGAGCATCCATACCGTACCGTCAAGGCGCTTAGACCAGAACCACGTTTGGCTCAGGAGAGGCTCTGGTTTTCGGGCCATTCCTTAATTCTAGGTCAGGGTGCCCGTTCGAAGCCGAGGTTCGCAGTGGCCACAGAAGTCTCTTCGTTCTTGATCCAGTGTATCTCATTGCCGCACGGCGGCCGCACGGCGAACGGATCGCTCGCAAAGAAACAGTGGTGCGGATGAGCTCCAGGAGTGGCGCACCGCGGGTCGCAGGTTTGACCGGGCCCCATGGCCGGGCGCCAGCCGGACGCAATGGTTACCCTGCCCTCGGGGGCGCGATAAGGCGGCGTCGTGCTTCGCGCTTCGCTCTGTTTGTGCCGGAGTAGCTGCCCCTCACCGGGGGGTGGGCGCTTAAACGCGAAGGCAGCTGCGCTCCTCGCGCGTCCGCGCGAGGCGCGAGGTGCGCGAAGCTGGGTGGCCCTGGGCCCAGATCTCCGACGATGTGAGTTTTCAATCAGGATGCCTTTCCTCGATTTCGGTCTGGGAGCCCGTTTTCGGGCCCAGGTCCACCAAACACGGATCCGGGACGAAGAACTACACCCGGGGAAGGGGTCGGGAGTTCTGGTGCCGGGGCTTGAAATTATCTCGGCGAATGACCAACCATACGCAGTTGTTGGCACCGCATGTGTCATTATCGCTTTCAGTGGAGCTCCCTGTGGGGCTACGAAACGCGTGAGGAGTGTGCCGAAGTGACTGGGGGCGCATGCGGGCCCTGCTATTGGAGCCTTCGGTGGAGGTGCCTATGGGGCCACGGTGCGTGTGAAGGGTGTGCCAGACTGGGCCCCGGGACGCATGCGCGCGCTGCCACTATGGTCTTCGGCGGACTTCCATAAAGTGCCACGAAACGTGTGAGGGGTGTGCTGGAAGGGAGCCTGCGGACGCATGCGGATGCTGCCGCTGGGGCCTTAGGTGGAGCTTCCTGTGGGGCCACGAAGCGTGTGAGGGATGTGCCGCTTGCGTTTCGCCACCGGGTTCGCTCTGGTAAAACTTGTGTGAGAGGTGTCCTGAACTGGGCCGGGGGACGCATGCGAGCTGTGACAATGTGGCCTTGGGTGGAACTCCGTGTGGGGCCACGAAACGTGTGAGAGGTGTGCCGAAGTGGGTGCGACGCCACCATGCGGCCGTGGCCAATGGGGCCTCAGCTGAAGCTCCCTATGGGGCCACGGAGCGTCTTGAGTGTGTGCCGAAATGGCTGTGACGCCACCATGCGGCCGGCTGCCACTGGTGCCGTCGTTGGGTCTCCCTGTGGGGCCACGAAGGGTGCGAGGGGGGTGCCTCGCGGACATGCGGAGGGCAGGGGCAGGGAGGAGGGAGGAGGGCAGCAGGCGGAAGCGCGGCGCGGCGCGGCGTGGCGCCACGAGGACGCAGCGCCACAGGATGGCTGGGACGAGTCCTGCCGGCGGCTGCCACGGGGAAGCGCGAGCGCGCGAGTGCGCGAAGTTGGGCGGCCCTGGGCCTCGCAGTCCCTGAGCTTGGGCAGAGCTGGTGACGGGCGTCGGCGGGGGGCAGCTCCACGCCGCGGCCTCGCCCGCCCCCGCCGCCCTCCCTCGTGGGCGAAGAACATATCCGTGTCCGCGGCCTCGCGGGCCGGGCCTTTGGGCCGCGACGCCGCGGATGCGGGGTGATTTTTTGTTGCGGATGCCTGGCGCGGCACGTAATTACCCCAACGATCGCGGATCCGCACGATCGCGCCCGAGAATCCAAGGACCGCGAAGGCGCGGATACGGATATGCGCGCCGCTCGTGGGAATGCCCCCCCCCCCCCCTCTCCCAGAAAAGGTGCGTGTGAGGCTGCGGGCCCCGAGGGACGGCGACGACGTGCAGGGCGCGGGCGCGGACCTGGAAGTCGTCCCGGACACATGGGGGAAGGGGCCCCTCTCTGGGGCGGGGATCTGCCCGTGATCCGAGGAAGCGCACCTGTGGAGCAAGGCGCGCGGACGAGCGACGGGTCCTGCTTTCGTGCAGAATCGGCGCGCTCCGTCGCCGACTCCGCCGGCATTGGCCCCGTGTTTCGGGTGGCATGCTCCCCGAGTCGTGGATCGGGTGCCCATGCGCCAGATCCACGGATCCCTAACCTCGGAAAGCGGAATGTATAGATTACCAGTGGCGGGTTGTTTCTCAATCCCAGGATTTCTTGAGGGTCGAGGACGACGCTGGGATGGTGTGGTGTATACTTTGTTCCCCGATGTCCCGGGGAAACAACGAAGAATGTATACACCAGGGTCCCGTATACGCCAGGATCTGCTCTCTAGTGTAAATTCTGATGCAGGGCCAGAAGAAGCGTCGGTGTATAGAGTTCGATTCCCTATAATCCATGTTAGCGTGTGCCCGGGTGACCACCGTCAGGGGAGTCGATCTTCTGGGACCTCGGCAGGCGGTGGACATGGATGGGGGCGGCCCCCCAGGGCCCAAACGTAAGGATGCGGCTCTTGGGAGGTCAGGTTCAGCACTGGCGCTGTTATACATGCGGTCGCAAACTGGCGCAATTCAGCACAATCGCGGGTTAATTCCGCCGAGCCCAGCTTAATTCTGATTTCAATCATGGCTAGTTGCTCACTTTAATCGGGCATAATTGTCCTCAGTCGTTCTTGCGAAGACCTCCCAAGAGCTGTTTCCTAGCCGACGGTCGGGATTCTGAAGAAGGACCGTGTTGAGCTCAGGAGGGGCCCGGTCTCCCGGGCGGCTCCTCAAATCTCGGAAGGGGGGCCTTTTCGTGGCCAGGCTGGCCGTGGCCTGGAAAGCTACTTCGTCCCTTTATTCGGCCCTCAACAGATTTCCGGTCCACGCCTACGGGCACGACCTCAGGTCCCACTAAGGGGGGCCCAGCATGGGGGAACGTCGTGCATACGGGCAGGGCCTTAGGTCGCATTGACTGGGGCCAAGCATGCGGGAACGTCTTGCAGACGGCCATGGTCTTAGGCCCCACTAGGAGGGGCCCAGCAGGCGCAAATGTCGTACACACGGGCACGATCTTGGGCTTAATCAATTGGGACCCGGCATGCGGGAACGTCGTGCATACGAGCACGGCCCTCTGTATCATTAAGTGGGACCCAGCATGCGGGAACGTCGTGCACAATTGCGGGCAAGATCGCAGGTTCCACCAAGTGGGACCCATCATGCGGGAACGTCGTGCAAACGGGCAGAATGGTAGGTAGGACTATGTGGGGCCCAGCATGCGGGATCCGAGGAGGAAGAGGAGGAGGAGGAAGAGGAGGAGGACGAAGAGGAGGACGAGGAGGACGAGGAGGAAAAGGAGAAGGGGGGGAACATGAGGAAAAGCAGGAGGAGAAGGACGAGGAGGAGGAGGAGGAGGACGAGGAGGAGGAGAGGAGGGAGGAGGAGGAGAAGGAGGACTCGGCACATGGGCCATCGGCTGGCGACGCTCCTCCTCGAGTTCCAGGAGCTCGGCGCAGACGCGATCCAGCTGGACACAGGCCGCGTTGACAGCCACCTCTGCTGTGCGCACCTTCTCGCGGAGGTCCGAGACATGCATATCCTGCTTCTCCTTCCTCTTCGCCAGCTTCTGGTGCAGGACTGAGATCTCCTTGAGCCTGGTGTCCAGACGCTTGCCTGCGACATGCTTCCTTCGCAACTCAACTTCGCGGCCCCGCGAGTTCTCTCGCGCCTCGATGAGCTCGGCACACGTTGCGGACTCAAGCGTCGCCAAAGTCGCACCGACCTCGGCCAGCTCACACTTGATACCGGCGTCGGGCCCCTTGCCAAAGTCATCAACTTCCATGGCATCGGGCCCACCGCCTTGCTGCGACTGCTGGCTCTTGAGCCTGGATAGCTCCGCCCGCAGCCTCTTGACCTCAGCATCCTGACTCCCCCCTCCGCCCGCGACACCGGTGATTTGGGAGGGCGGCTGATCGAACTGCTCTTTGAGGCCTCCGAACCCTGGTGCTGCTTACTTTGCCGACACCTGTCCAAGTCCGCTCTGTTTCGACCAGCAGTGCTTACAATACCACGGTCTGGCCCACGCAACCCTCTTGCGCTTGTGCCCGCTCTGGGTGTGACCTGCCCGCGGCGTCTCATCATGCCGAGCGGCCGGCCCCATGATCAGACTCAGGGCAGCTGAAGCGTGGCACCTTCCGCCGACCGTGGGGCGAACCGCGTGCGGACAAGCTTGGGACGCCCCGGCAGGCAGACCCAGGCGTTCGTGAAACGGAATGCTGTGGGGGCTCTCGAGCTTGCCCCCTCGGCTGCGATCAAGCTCCAGCGTCGGGACCCACGTTGGAACTTGAGCCAAAGTGGCTACGGACTTGTACCCGAAAGTGCCGGAGCCGAGTCTGAAAAGAGAGAGAGAGGGAGAGAGAACGAGAGATCCGTACATATACCAATGTACATGTGTATATAACCACATGCTTGTTTCTATAAGTATGTATATATAACTAATTATCTGTATGTGTATGAACATGTATGTATGTATATGAATGTGCAAATGGGAGAGACGTGAACAGAAAAGCAAAGAGTCTGAAAGAGAGAGAGTGAGAGATGAGGATTTCGGTAGATGTGTATATATACAGATATAAAGAGGAAAAAAGAGAGAGAGAGAGAGCGAGACACATCGAAAGAGAGTGAGAGAGAACATAACTATCAGGAAGAACAGGGGCAGCGCAGGAGGCGACGGAGCGCTTCCAGTCCGAGCTGTTGGAGCTGCTCGCTGCGTACGAGCCACCCATCGGGGAGCGCCCCACGGTTTTTCGGGGACTGGGCGTCGGGGACGGGCGTCGCACGAGAGGCAGGGGAGGGTCAGGGGCAACGTGAGGGGTGGGAAGAGGGTCAGGGGCAGCGTCAGAGTCAAGGACAACGTTGAGGTCAGAGGCAACTTCAGGGTCGGAGGCAGAGGGCCAGGGGCAGCGTCAGGGGGGGACGCATCGGCCCCGAATCGCCCGCTCATTGCCGATATGGGCCCGATAGCCCGCCTCGCCAAGAAGCATGCGGGTTCGCTGTCGTCAGGCGATCGCAAGCATGGATCAAGGGGGCGTGGATTAGCGACGGGTCCCGTTTCTATGAGACATCGCGGATTGCCGCCGCCGAGCGAGGCGTCACCGGCCGCAGTTTGGGGAGGGCACCTCCCCCTATCCATGGATTTGGAGACCGCGCGCCAAATCCATGGATCGCTAATCTATGTTTGCGCGCCCCCGATATCGGGGGGCTATCGCTGATACATCCTGGATGTGTCGCCGATTCCAGGTCGATGTTTGCCCCCCTGAGCCGGTCCCCCCCCCTGACGCTTCCCCCCAGGAAGGGGGCGGAGGGGAGGCGCGAAAGCTCCGTCCTCCTTACGCTTTCTCCTCCCTGCTCCTGCTATTCCTTTACCCTCCTATTCTCGGCCGGCCTGCAAGGGTCGGCATCGAGCACAGTCTTGGGTCACTGTGGGCCCTGGACTGCGCCAGTTGCCTAGCTTTTTACAGCACTCGAGATGTTGATGTCACCCCCCTTCCCCCTTCGCCCGCCGTCTTCTCCTTCTCCACCCAGACTTCGGGCGGATAACTTTACCCAATCCCGGCGCTTTTCCTCCATCGCATCCTCGGGGGGCCGTTCTCAGGCCCTGGGACCATCAGAATTAGATCCGGGACGGGAGGCTAACTCCCAGAAAGGGGTCAGGACCTCAGAGGCCCGCGGATTGAGGACATGGATCCGTCGGCTGTCTGGGTCTTGGTTTCGAGTGTCTCCCGTCTCACGGCCTGCCCTCGGAAGAGACTTGTGCCCACTCGGGTACCCTTTGCAACCAGTCCCGACTGCATCTGCAGCGGTCCCTCAGCCTGAGGGACCGCTACAGATGCAGTCGGGCCCTCGGCATGCGGTCTCTCATCCTCAGCCTCAACCGCTACCGCTACCTCAACCTCAGCCTGGGGTCCCTCAGAGATGAAGCCCTGGCCTCAGGGCTTCATCTTTGAGGGATCGCAGGATTGGCTTCTCTTCTTCGGCGGATGCGGTGGAAGGCCGGCGGAAGGCGGGCGGACGCCAGCGAAATGAAAAGTCGTCCCCACGATCGGAGGCCGAGAGGATGACACCAGCACCTATATCCAGGGGCGCCTCGAGGGCGCGCAGTTATTCGCGCTTCGCGGTTCGGCTTCGATTCCTCCTCGTCCTCCTCTTCTCCCCTGGGAGGCGGCGCGAGAGCGCGAAGTTATTCGCACTTCGCGCTTCGCGCAGCGCGAAGCGCGAAGTTGGGAGCCCTTAAATATCGCGGTGTGCCTTCGCCGAGGGAAGACGATCCCGATCTTGGCGATGGCGGTAGCATTCGGGCTTCCCAGGTGGCCGAAAGATTACACCACCAGCAACGACATCCAGTGGAGGCAACCCCTTTTGTTGGTGTTGTTGCATCGCCCCCAGATCCCGTTCTCATCGCCGGGATGGGCCCGATAATCCACCCCTCCCAGGTAACAGAATTTGCTACCGGGGGTCTATCGCTGATCTATCGGCGACGCATCGCTGATTCCAGGTCAATGCCTTCCCCCCTGAGACGGTCCCCCCAACGTTTCCCCTAAGGAGGAGAGCGGAAGGGGAGGCGCGAAAGCTCCGTCCTCCTCCTCCTCACGCCTTCTCTTCCCTGCTCCTCCCTGTTGGTGCCCACTTCCAGGCCTCGTGGCCCCTTTCTGGGCCCTACCAGGCCCAGGTTGGGGTTGGAGGGTTGGGCAGTGTCTCGTGGCACTCCCATGCTGGCTTGTGTCTTGTCCGCCTGGAGTGCCCGATCCTGCCCCCCCACCCTGCGTTGGTGCTGGTGCCCATCTCCAGGCCTGTAAGCCCGGGGGGTACAGGATTGCCAGGGTCGGCCACCGGGCGTGTCGGTCTCCTCGGAGCGGGGGCCCCGCGCGCCAGCGGGGGCATAGCAGGACAGTGAATTCTTCACGTTTCGCGCATCCCTGCCAGTCAATGGTCGATGCGGAAAGAGTGGGTACGATCCCAAACAGCAGTTCGACTTCATTTTGAGCAGGACTCGCTGTCCGAGCAGCCGCGAACGTTGTCCATTTGAGACAGAAGGTCGCTTGCCCAACAGCGGCTGCTGTCGGTTTGGAAATTTGTTTTTGAGCATCGTGCGTATTTTTTTCCGTACCCATTTGGGGCTTCCAAACTCGCGTACCCCCATCAGTTCATTCAAACACGTTGCCGATGAGGCTCTCTTGGTGTTCTCTTGGGGCTCTCTAGGGGCCCTCTTGGTTCCCTCGAGGTGTCAATCTTGGGGGGGGATCCAGGTCTGTTGGGGTCTGCCACCTGGCGTGTCGATCTCTGTTGCGGGGGCCCCGTACCCCAGGGGGGCGGTATCGCTGGGATGCTGGAAGGGTGGAGGCGAGGGCAAGCTCGATGAAGTGCAAGCATGGGTTAAGGCGCGTGGTCCAGTGATGGGTCCTGTGCTCCGTCGCCAAATGAGGCGGCACATGCTCTGTGTTTCGGGGGGCGCTTTCCCTGATCCGCGGATCTGGCGCCGACAAGCCAGATCCATGGATCACTAATCCATGTAAGCGTTTACCCGAAAACGACAATTCGGCTGCATGCAATTTCTGCCAGGATACGGCCAGCATCGGCGCTGGTATATCCATGAAACTCGATTTTAAAATCCGTGCGAAGCCTAAGGTGTTTAAAGGACTCTGGCATGCGAGCACGACGACGCGCGCGTGTGCACTTCGACCCGTTTTTTGCCAGGGATTCTTCAACATATATGATGTTTGATAAACGGGTGCGCGCATAGTTTTTTATGACTGGGAACCGAGGGGGGGGGGATACCGATGGCCTAGTATGGTACGAGTTTATATTTAGGATGGACGATGGGTCAGCCGTGCTGATAAGACGGGGGGAGAGTCTATTCTTCTTTGGAAAGGAGAATATTTGTGGTACAATCTATGCAGTGCAGTTAATTTCTGTTCGCAGTGAGTTGTCCACTCCACTTCTCGCGCAAACATCCCACCCACCCACCCGCAACTTGGTTTGCAAAATCTCTTAAGACCGTGACGGTGGGTACCAAATGGCACTTGGCAACGACAGCGACGCCGACGACGACAGCGACAACGACGACGATGACGCCGTCGACAACGACTACGACGATACCGACGACGTCTCCAACGACTTCGACGACGCCGACAACGACGACGACGACGACGACGACGACACCGACGACTCCGACGCCGACGACGACGATGACAACGACGACGATGACGACGCGGACGACGACGACGACGACGACGACGACACCGACGACGACGACGACGCCGACGGAGACGACGACGACGACGACGATGACAACGACGACGACGATGACGACGCTGACGACGACGACAACGACGTCACCGACGACGACGACGACACCGACGACGACGACGACGACGACGGCGGCGAGGACGACGACGCCGACGTCGACGACGACGACGAAGACAACGACGCCGACGACGACGACGACGAAGGCGACGACGGCGTCGCCAACGAAGACGACGACGAGGGAGGAGGGAGGACGACGACGGCGACAACGACGACAGCGACGACAACGACGAGGGAGGAGGGAGGACGGCGACGACGCGAACGACGAAGAAGGAGGAAGGACGGCGACGCCGACGACGACAACGACGAGGGAGGAGAGAAGACGACGACCACAACGACGACGACGACGACGACGGCGACGAAATGGGAGGGACGACGACGAGACGCCGACGACGGACGACGACGACGACGAGGGAGGAGGAGGAAGGACGACCACGGCGACAACGACGACGGAAACGACCACGACGCCAAAGAGGAGGACGACGACGAACGCAAGGAAAGACACAGGACGACGTAGGCGACGACGACGACGACGCGGGAGGAGGGAGGACGGCGACGACGACGACTACGACGACGACAACGACGCAAGAGCACGCGCACACGCTTTTGTTGAACATCCGTGTTGCGAAACCTTGCGTTTTTGTATGCTTTTTGGACACGATGTTGAAATCCTTCCGAAACCGATGGGTTTTGAAGGATTTCGGAATACGCGCGCGACGACGCGCGCGTCTGCATTTCGTCCTGTTTTTTGCAGAGGATTCTCGCGACGGCAAACGCGCAAGGGCGTCCGACAGATTTCGACATGCGCACGCGCGAAGCCCGTTTGTTAACATGTTGTGAAAATCTTGAAAACCCATGGTTTCCTCAACATTTAGCAAGAGCTCGCGCGTAAGCTTTTTTAGCACATCAGTGTTGCGAAACCCTGTGTTGTTGTATGTTTTTTTGGGGGGAACTCGATTGCGAAATCCTTCCGACACCGAAGGTTTTTGAAGGATTCCGGCATGCGCGCGCGATGACGCGCGCGTGTGCACGTCGTCCCGTTTTTGTCAAGGGATTCGTGAAACAGTCTTATGTTAGAGCAAAAGATGTCCCCGCGTATTGTTTTTGTCAAGGGAACCTCCGGGGAACCGATACCGGCCCCCCGGGGATAGTGGAAATTCATTTGTAGGATGGACATGTGGTCAGAACCATATATGACTTACGTGCCCGAAAGGGGGGCGGATAACGCCAGGGGAGGGGATGAGTCTATTTTTTTTTTTTTTAAAAAAAAAAGGAGAATCTACGTTGTGCAATTCACTTTGGCCGTCTTGAAGCTGTCCTCTCCACTGCTCGTGCAAACATCCCACCCTCACACCCGCAACCTGGTCGCAAGACCTCTTAAGACAAGACCGTGACGGTAAGTACCACATGGCACTTGGCCACGACACCGACGACGACAGCGACAACGACGACGACGACGACGACGCCGTCGACTACGACTACGACGACACCGACGACGTCTCCAACGACTTCGACGACGACAGCGACGACGACGACGACGACACCGACGACGAAAACGCCGACGACGACGGCGATGACAACGCCGACGACGACGCCGACGACACCGACGCCGACGCCGACGTCGACGACGACAACGACGACGACGACGACAACGACGCCGCCAACGAAGACGACGATGACGACGACGAGGGAGGAGGGAGGACGACGACGGCGACAACGACGACAACGACGACAACGACGAGGGAGGAGGGAGGACGGCGACGACGCGAACGACGAACAAGGAGGAAGGACGGCGACGCCGACGACGACAACGACGAGGGAGGAGGGAAGACGACGACGACAACGACGACGACGACGGCGACGAAATGGGAGGGACGACGACGAGACGCCGACGACGGACGACGACGACGACGAGGGAGGAGGAGGAAGGACGACCACGGCGACAACGACGACAGAAACGACCACGACGCTAAAGAGGACGACGACGACGAACACGAGGAAAGACAGAGGACGACGTAGGCGACGACGACGACGCGGGAGGAGGGAGGACGGCGACGACGACGACGACGTGGACGCAAGAGCGCGCGCGCGCTTTTGTTGAAAATCCGTGTTGCGAAACTTTGTTTTTTAGTATGTTTTTTGGACACGACATGCGCGCGCGAAGCCCGTTTGGTAGCATTTTGTGAAAATGTTGAAAGACAAACTACGGTTTTCTTAACATTTCGCAAGAGCTCGCGCGTAAGCTTTTTTACCAGATCAGTGTTGCGAAACCCTGTGTTTTTCTGTATGTTGTTGTTGGAAACTCGATTGCGAAATCCTTCCGACACCGAAGGTTTTTTTAAGGATTTCGGCATGCGCGCGCGACGACGCGCGCGCGTGTGCACTTCGCCCTTGTTTTTGCAGTGCATTCGTGGAACAGTCTTATGTTAGAACAAAAGGTGTCCCCGCGTATTGTTTTTACATGGGAACCTCAGGGGGGTCGATACCGGCCCCCCGGGGATAGTGTACATTCATATTTAGGATGGACATGTGGTCATAATCATTTATGATTTACATACCCGAAAAGGGGTACGGATAACGCCGGGGGGGGGGTAGAGCTTATATTCTATTTAGAAAGGAGAATCTAGGGCGGCGACGGAGCTGCGACGAGTCGGCGACAGCGGCCACATAGCCGCGAAGCCGACAGACAGGCCCAGACGTTGGGCGGCGACGAAGCGGCGACGGGGCTTCGACACAGGCAGCATAGTCGTTAGACTGACAGACAGGCCTAGCTCTTTAGCAACCAGTAAGAAACCCTAAGTGCGAACATGGTTTCGGGAAACCATTTATACTTGACCGGACGCTCTCGGCAAGCGTTGGCAACATTTTTGGATGGTTTTTTCCCTTCGATGGAATGGGTTGTACGCCCTAGTACGGACTCCACTTCTGGGTCCGCTTCTTTCTTTGTTGTTGCCGCCCCCCCCCATTTCCGCTCCTCCGCTTTCCCCTGGCCCTGCATGAAGCGGAGCCCTTTTTTGGGCTAATGGTCGTGCTGTCAGGTGCTGCCGCGTATGTCCGGCCCGCGCCCGAGGAGGAGTGGTGGTGGTGTTCAGGTTGCGGACCTCAATCTTCTGGGTTCTTAGACAACAGTTCTAAGAATTTTCTCGTCATGGTTGTTGGCGACTGCAGTGGCGTCAAGTACCTCCGCGACCCGCAGTGCGTGCATGCCGCGGTCTCCGGCCGTCTTCTTGGAAAGCGTCAGGCAGCTGCCAGAGGGGAGCTGTATGCCTTTGAATTTGCCCCGGGTGGTCCGACACAGGCTTTAAGTCGGGCCTGTCCCTCTACAGGGGGGATATTCCAAAATGGTTTTAAAACAATAGTCTGGGGAATTCATTTTTGACCATTTTGGAGTATTTGTTGCATTTCTTTGGTATTTTTGTTGATTTTTCTTTGGTATTTCTTCATTTTTCGTCCAAAATCGGCCTGCAGGGGGACAGTCCCGACTTAACACAGGCTGCCCCGTGCCATCCAGGACTCGACCCAGGTCAAAGAAAGGGAGGACGGGGACAGGATGAAGGAGGTTGCGCGATCAATTCAGAGACCTCCTGCCCCGTCCGTCGTGGCAGCGTTCAGTTCTGCGCATCGGTGTGATGGTTAGCGGTGCTTCAAGTGTTTTGGCTCTTCATCTGGAGCTACTGTGAATGAGTGACTGTCCTCCCCCTGCCTCTCTCTCCAGCGTTGACATGATTATATGTCAGCTCTTCCCTATGGGGTGGGGGCAGCTACGTTTGGCTTGGTGATGGGTGCACGACGGTCGCGTCGTAAGACTGCAACGTGCACTGAATCGTTGGTTCTGCCAGGGTTGCGGGTTTTATTTATCATATGTTTGTTCGTGAGCTAATGAACCCATGCGTGAATCACACGGCCCCCAAAGGCAGGAGTAATATCCCCGCCTTGAGATGGAAAAATGACTTAAGGTGTTCAGAAAGACTGAGCAAGCCCAGAGGGTTACTTAAATATGTATTAAACGGCCACGACGAATCGTTCGTTCTCGTTCTCGTTTTTTTCCTCCTTTGGTCGTGGTTCAGGTCCTCTGGGGGCCATCCACCTCTTTCGTTTTTGCTCTTACTCATCCTCCTCCTTCTTGGGGGATTGTGCGAATCGAGGTCCTCGAAGACACTCCAGGCGGCAGATAGAAAAGGACCCGGCGCAATGCGAAGGGACGGGTGGGAGGAGTAGGTTGCCAGATGTGGCGCGATTCCCCCTCGACAATTACCCAACACGAGTACTGCCCGCATGGTTTGTTTGCGGAAGAGACAGTGTAGGACGTCGAAGGGTGATGTTTCATATGGAGTGCTTTCAAATGGAGCGTTTCCGGCGTTTCTACATGTTGCTCCCTCTGCAGCGCTGGCTTCGTTTTTGGGTCGACGTTTTGCTCCCGTTGTTCAAATTTGTGCTTTCGCTTTAGCGCTGGCAACATTTCTGGATCCGAGTCCTTCATCGTCGTTGTCGCCCCGCTTCATTACCCTCCTCCGTTTTCCAACAGCACTTCTGTCCCTCCCTCTTCTCCCACTCCTCCTGCTGCGCCTGTTCCTCATGGTTCTCCTCGTCGTCCTCCTCATCATCATCATCATCAGCATCGTCATCATCATCACCATCACCAGCAACACCATCACCTCCACCAGCATCATCATCAGCATCACCACCACCATCATCAGCAGCATCAGCATCAGCATCGTCATCATCGTCGTCGTCATCATCATCATCATCATCATCATCATCATCATCATAATCATCATGAACATCATCATCATCATCATCATCATCATCATCATCATCATTAGCAGCATCATCATTATCATCAACATCATCATCCTTATCACATTCACCGTCATCGTCATCTTCAACATCATGTTCATCGTCATCGCCATCTCCATCATCATCAGCATCATCATCAATACCAGTATCACCATCACCATCATCAGCATCATCATCACCATTACAGCCATCAGCATCATCATCATCATCATCATCATCATCATCATCATCATCATCATGAGCATCATCATAATCATCAGCAGCATCATCACCATCCTTATCAGCATCATCACCATCATCAGCAGCAGCATCATCATCAGCATCATCATCAGAATCCTCTTCCGCCTGCCCATCCTCCTGGCCATCCGCCATACCCTCCTCCTCCGCCCATGTATGCAGCTCCCCTTTTATGGGGCTTTTTGGGGGGGGGCCCAGGTCCGCGCACTGGGATCAGCGCAGTGGGAATGGATGGGTAGGAGGTGTAGGATGTCAGGCCTGGGGCGAGCGCGCCTAGCGTGCCTCCCCGTTGTCTCCTTTTCCTTCTCTCCTCCCGTCCCGCCTCTCCTCCTTAAGGGGGAAAGGACACCCTGACCTTCATATTGGCTGCTCAACGGTAGTCGTTTACCGAAAAGACCTGCCCCGCTCACTTCCTACGTTACAGAGTTTACTTGAGGGCTTCGCTTACATTGTCACCGCGCTACTGAAAGTGAATACGACACGGTACTAACTGATGTTGTTCTGATCACGGCGAGCCTCGGCTAGGATGAGGTTCTCTGACTTAGATTTGAGTGGCGGCCCATAAACCGCAGCCTTCCCAAACCAAAAATGATCCTTATCTGAGCGTCTTGAGTATAGGGGCGCTGATCATGAGGCGAGCACATCAAATATACAACGCCTGCTAGGTTGGGCGCCCTGGGTGCACAGAAGGTCTGGGGCACCCGGGGACCCCTAAAGCTCGATGGAACATGTGCCGCAATGCTTCTCATAGCGCGACCCTTTTTGTCGTATGAGTCTGCTGTGCCCTCCTCCAGCGGGAGAGGTGTTCGGCCGCAACATTCCGGAGGCCTTCTGGGTCCCGGCCAAGGCCGTTCTGGACAGGCCCGTCCCGCGAGGGGGTGGGATGGTCTAGCAATCGTCGGCGATCTCCGCCATCCTCTCCCTCTTGTCGGCATGAGGCAAGCTCAGACGGGGAAGTGCCGATACCGCTGCCCTTGCTTCGTTTGCGCCGTTCCGGGGCCTCCTGGGGGGTCCTCGTCGCCTCGGCTGGATTCGCCTTGAAATTCTGGCCGGGACGGGCGTGTTTCTTTCAGGTCTGGCGCCATGCCGGGTGATCGGGCCCGCCCGCCGGCCCCCCCCCTCCCCCCCTGGATAACCTGATCTTGTCGGTGGCACAGGTCCGCAGGGGGGGCGGAAGTATTGAATCCGTGCGGGGATCATTGTGGCGGCCCACAGCGAGAAGGTTAGGTTACCGGCCGGCACCTCCCCCAACACCCCCCCGTGGTAACACGGCCTATCGCCCTGAAGAAAAATCCAGGCTAAGAACCCATCCGTGTGCATGTGTGAGTAACGCAGTTGTGGGAGTCGTCTTCGGTGGAGCTCCCTATGGGGCCACGAAACGTGTGAGCGGTGTGCCGAAATGGGCCGGGCAGACGCATGTGGACCCTCCCTCTGGGGCCTTTGGTGGAGCTTCCAATGGGGCCCGGGGAATTGCGAGGGGTGTGCCGACGCGTGTCGGGCGGACGCATGTGGATCCCGCCAATGGGGCTGTCAGTGGAGCTCTCTATGGGGCCACGACGCGTGTGAGGGGTGTACCGACATGGATAGTGCGGACGTGTGCGGACCCTGCCACTGGCCGTCGGTGGAGTTCTTTACGGAGCCACGAAGCGTGTGAGGGGTCTGCCGACATGGGCTGGGCGGACGCATGTGGACCCTGCCACTGGGGCCTCCGGTGGAGCTCCCTATTGGGTCCCGAAACGTGTGAGTGGTGCGCCGGGATGGGCCGGGCGGACGGATGCGGACCCTGCCACTGGGGCCTCCGGTTGAGCTCCCTATGGAGCCACGAAGTGTGTGAGGGGTGTGCCGACTTGGGTCGGGCGGGCGCATGCGGACCCTGTCACTGGGGCCTCTGGTGGAGCTCCCTATGGGACCCCGAATCGTGTGAGTGGTGCGCCAGAATGGGCCGGGCGGACGCATGCGGACCCTGCTACTAGGGCCGTCGGTGGAGTTCTTTATGGAGCCACAAAGTGTGTGAGGGGTGTGCCGAAGTGTGTCGTGCGGGCGCATGCGGACCCTGCCACTGGGGCCGTCGGTGGAGCTCCCCATGGGGCCCCGAAACGTGTGAGGGGGGTGTGCCGAAGTGGGTCGTGCGGACGCATGCGGACCTTGCCACTGAGGCCTTCGGTGCAGCTCCTTGATGGGGCCCCGAAACGTGTGAGGGGTGTACCGAAATCGCTCGGGCGGACGCATGTGGGCCCTCCCACCAGGGCCTTCGGTGGAGCTCCCTATGGGGCCACGAAACGAGTGAGGAGTGTACCAAAATGGGTCGTGCGGACGCATGTGGACCCTGCCACCGGGGCCTTCTGTGGAGCTCCTTATGCGGCCACGAAGCGTGTGAGGTGTGCCTGAGTGGGTCGTGCGGACGCATGTGGGCCCTGCCGCTGGAGCCATTGGTGGAGCTCCTTATGGGGCCGCGAAGCGCTTGAGGGATGTGCCGAAATGGGCCGCGCGGGCGCAGGGAGATCCTGCCACTGGAGTCTCTGGTGGAGCGCCCTATGGGGCCACGAAGCGTGTGAGGGGTGCGTGGAAATTGATTATTAATATTTTTCTATGATGATGTGGGATGTGCGGGGGGCGGGAGAAGGAGAGGCGGAGGAGGAGGAGGAGGAGACGTGAGGCGCTGTCTTTCCTAAGCGAGGGCACAACACCACAGGATGGCTGGGAAAAAACGCTTTCGACGCTGCACCCCGGGAGAGGTCTGGGGAGTAATTAGCGGTGTCGGTATGTTTGGTGTCCTTCCAGGCGTGTCTTGAGGGCAAGGGGTCTCGAGGGTTTTCGCCGTCTTCGGGCTCTCTGGCCCCTCCAGGGCGCGGCCTCTCACACACACACAAAGCCGCACATGCAGGAAGAACAAATACGGAAAAAACGTCGTAACCGATTCTGCGTGCAGGGCGAGCAGGTGTGCAGCCACCAGAAACTTTGTGCCGGTGACCTGCTATTCGGTTATTTGCAAACGACGCGGAGGACTGGGGGACCAGGAGGAGTGGAAGGAGACGGATCCCTGCCGATCTAAGGGCGCGGCCGGCCTCTTAGGGGTCATATCCCAAACGCACATGCCGCTAGTCTCGCATCGCATGCAATCGGCATGAGGTAAACTCAGCGGAGGAAGAGTCACCGATCTGGTTACCATGGCCTCGTCGCCGCCATTTGGGACTTCTGGGACGTCCGCATGGGCGGAACCCCGTGTTGTGAAGTGTCCACTTCCGTCCTTCTGGCGGAAGTAAACGGAAGTAAACGGAAAGAGGCGCGATGAGAAGGTTCTCGGAACTGTCAAGTGGTTGCCCGTTTCGAAAAGGATATATCCCCCATCTTCACCCAGGTTGCAGAAGTTCCCACACATTGCAATCATTTTGAAGGAGGAGGCGCCGAGCACGCCATCCACGAATGACATGGTGGACGCGCTCACCATGAACGACACCTGGGACATGCACTACGAGAAGAGACACCCGAGGAAGCAGGTGGAGGTGCCGAAGTACATCAGCGAATCGGCGGCGTACAAGGCCACAGCAGACGAGGGGAACAGGCTAGGACACCAGTCCACCACCTCGTATGCACGATGGAACGCTTCTATTGCGAGGCCTATTGCATCCAGGCAGAAGACCAGCAGCGGTTCAAAGAAAGAGGCGAGGCGTACCCTTTTCAGGGGAAGGAGGTCAGAGAGTCAGGCCAAAGGAAAGTGCACTACAGCAACAGGAAGACAAATTGGTGGAGCAGGCTGGCAATGGTGCTGGACACCTATTCAAAGCTGAAGAGATGGAGACAGAGTGAACAACAACTGCAGGCGCTAGAAGAATGTTGCAAGAGGCTGACAATGGAAGGACTGCCGCTTGCGGGGCGAGCAGCTACGTGGTTTGCGAGGCTCCACTGAAGATATGGGGGCAGCGCGTCCAATAGATTCAGAAGGTCGGAGAATATGTGCTGGGGGGCATGTTCAAACAAGCCAAGCTTGAAGCGAAGATCTCCCTACAAGATGACCTGAGAAGAAGCGCAATGGACTGCGCGCTATGGGTGGCGAGCGTGGAGATCAACGCACCAGGAGCAGTGCATAATATCACCAAGCCCGAGAGGAGGCACGAAACCAATTACATCAAGGGAGGCACAGGAAGGCGACAAGCCAAAAGGATAGCATCGACCTGAAGGCTACGGACTTCGAGGATAGGTAGACGCACAGCAGCACGCATGATGACGCGGTGGAGGTGATCAACATGCTAAGAAGGAAGCCGAACGCGGAGCCGACGCCAAGTTGGACGCTCGAGGAGTTCGACGCGGCGGTGGAGGGCATCCCCAACAAAGGGAAAGGCACGGACAGGATGAACATGGGCGACGCGTGGGGGCTACCATCGCAGGGCAGGCGCTCCTTCACACATCTGTATACATATATAGATACATATGTATATATATACGACAACTGCGAGGCGGATGTGGCCTGGCCATGGCAAGCACCTCCGGCGATGGTGATGCTATAGCCACAGGACGCAGAGAAGGTTGGTGAGGCGCCGCTCGCAGGAGGAGGAGAAGAGCGCTGGCGCCACCCACGTGGTTCGCCAGGGCGCGAGAGCTTTCAACAGGAACCAGATCAGGAAGTGGGCCAAACACGTGGGAGAGGGATTCGACGCGGCGATCGCGGGCATCTCCTGTCTAAGAGAGGCGATGTCCAGAGCCGTGGGGGACGAGACCTCGCAAGTGCTCGGAGCCCGCTCCGCGAACCCCCTGGCCGACGTCAAGAAGGTCCTGCGAGTCACTAGTCTTTGAGAAGGTGGCGAAGAGGGCGTTGGAGTGCGGCTTCCCGCAGGGCGTTCTCGCGATGGCCACGTTGACCCACCTGGCGCCGCGAATGCTCACAGAAGACAGCGCTTGCAGGAAGCCGATCTACGCGAGGAGGGGCCTGCTGGCAGGATCACGGCATAGCAACAGCTTGGCGAGGACTCTCATCTATCACTGCGTAAAGTCCATGTGCAGCATGGTTCAGCTGATGCAGCCAAGGACATGGTCCGGCGACATCGGTCCACAGGCAGCCGGAAGCATCGCCAGGACTGCATCGTGGAGGCGACACGCGAGCTTGCGATGGAGCTCAACAGCGAGGGACTTGAGATGGCAATGACATTTTCTGCGGCGCGACGAAAAGAGCCGCCCACATACTGAAGAAGCTCGGAGTCACGATGCGAGCAGCGACGGAAGGCAGGGCCCTGGGACCCGACCGAGCTGGCAAACTACGCACGAAAAAGAGCCACGCACGGTGCGCGGAGGAAAGGGGGTTTCAACATATTTGCGGCAATCACCAAAAAGCTGAACAGAGCACAGACAAGGAGGCAAGTCATCGAGCAAGGGCCGATGGCACAGGCGGGATGCGGCGCGAAAGCGCTCGGAGCCTGACCCATCGAGATCTTGGCCACCAGGAGGAGGTGCGCGAAGGGGCTCAGGAAGGCGCGGCCAGGAAGGCGCCTCGCCGCGCTGCTCGGCTTGGTAGGCGCGGGCCCAGGTGTCACCATCCCAAAGGACCAAATACAGGCGTGGTTTGACCTGTAGGCCAGCAGACCTGACCTGCGAAGCGGTGTGAGACGCGCGTGGCCTAGATTGCGCGAACGACTGGCGCGGCGCCTAAGTGAACGGGATGGCAGCAAAGAAGAGGAGTAATATGGGCACCCATTTTCAATATATGGGAGATCGGTTGGGGCGCAAAGACAGCGGACTTCTGGGAGGGCGCTGATGAAGGAGGCTGGCAGCTACAACCAGGCGGCGGCACAAACTACTCAACGGAGCTGCTGGGCGCGATCGCCGAAGACTTCAAAAAGAAGGCATCGGCACGCGCCAGTATGCATCAA